AGGAGGACACATGAAAATGTATAGATGCTTGTAAATGTATGGCCACATCTGTGGTTGAAAATCATTTAAAAAAAAACTGTTGAAATAACTCAAAAGTACATGTCGAGAACACTTTAACATTATAAAGCAAATGCAGTCAGTATCTTGGGAGTTTTATAACATATTTAAGTAATTCTAGGATTGGAGTCACGTAAGAGGCTTCTGTATGTTAGAAAAAGAGCCATCGGTTACATTGTAGCAATTTTGACATCGAATTGTCTTGCGGAAGTGTGGGGTTCAGTTCCTGAGCCCATTAAGTGCCTCTGAAACCCTTTCCACTACCGACCACAGCATGGGTATGAGGTGCATAATAAATGAACTAAACTTAAAAATTTTAGCGCAGAAAGAACAATCATATTTAGTAGTCCCTGTGGCGCAGTGGTAACCACTACGCCGGGCGAGCGTTTTCGCCTGGGTTTGTATCCTGACCGGGGAGGATTGACTGGGCGCCAATCCTTAACTGTTCATCCAGCAGTGGTACATGGGTTTATTAAGTTATTACTGAAAAATTCCACGTATCTTGTGTACGAAAAAAGCATTTTTAATCAGAGCGCTTTCGTGTTTTTAAGGTGTACTCCTTGAAATGATAATGAATGACAGCGCTCGGATACACACAAAAGCGCTGGGATACACACAAAAGCGCTCGGATACACACAAAAGTGCTCGGATACACACAAAAGCGCTGGGATACGCACGAAAGCGCTCGGATACGCAGGAAAGCGCTCGGATACGCACGAAAGCAATCAGATATTCTTCGTTTTTCTTCCCTAAGCGGATAGTTACACATATACATGTGTGTGTGTGTGTAAGCTTGAATGGTCCCCAATTAGCTACATCTGTATAACAGTTCACTCAATGTGGCTCCATACCAGCAGGCTGCCAGGGTACAACCCCCAGTACTGTGCTTACTCTACCAACACTGGCATTATGCGATGGTGGACTGGTATATGTGGGGTGATTCCCCCTGGCCACCCAGGTTCGAATCCTTGAGGGGTTATTGAGTTTATATATATATATATATATATATATATATATATATATATATATATATATATATATATATATATATATATATATATATATATATATGCAATGATAATTATCGTGGTCGACAAATAGGGCCCAAGCGGGACCCGTCCATGTTGTTATTGCATAAACTAAGTAATTAGTTAACAGGAAGCAGATATGATATTAATATATAATGGACAAATATATAGAGTCCGTGCATAATATCGATGTATAGTGAACAAATAAAAATTAAACATGCATAATATCGATGAATAATGAGTAAATAAAATGCCCATTCAGTTTTTAGTACCTTAAAGCATAATTCAACACTAAGGTTACTGGTAAATATGCGTAAAAATAAATGAAACCATGTTAAAAACATTAAAATATCACGATAAGGCTTCACATGGGAATGTGGCTATAGCCTAAACAAGAAGAAAAAAACTATTGAAAATATTGTCTTCAATATAGCATCATGGTGTGAACATCCGCGTTTTTGTGTTCCAAAACCTGATTCATAAATCTTAAGAATGCCCTTTGAAATGATGAGCATCATCCCACGCGATAATCTCCGCAACAAAACAATTTCAGAGACGTTGACCAAACCTCACACTAGAAAATAAAGAGACGACGACGTTTCGACTTGATGGACGGACCGAAATGTCGTCATCCCTTCATTTTCTAGTGTGTGGTTTGGTCAACATATTTCGGTCACCACGTTATTGTGACTCTTCATCTGCAATTTCAAAGACTATATATATGACTATTATTCTACTGCTGCTATTGTTATTATTACTATACTACTACCACCATTACTATTGCACAGTGTTGTACCAATACCTATCACAACTCAAATTATTTGTTCAATTTGTATGTAAAAATATGTTTGATTAACACTGCTGTACACCTGTTGTAACGATTTGACTAAGGGAGTGTAATTATGAGGCGCAAGCACTAAGTCAATATGGCTATACAGCACCTGAAGGGAAACGAGGATAGGAGATAGGATAGGAGGATGGGGTGAAGGGACACAGCTGAAGGAAGATGGTAAGAATAAAGCCTTTGATTATGTAACCTCGTCCTCTCCAGTTATCACATCGTCATAAAATTTTGTACTAAATTAACCTAATCTAATCGAGGACCCACAAATAGAAAACGGGACAGCCTGTCACTTTTGCGAGCCGCTATGATTTATAGAACATTATATTTTGGCCGTTGGGGATTTATGCTTCTAAATACGATATAGTATTCGAGTGCAAATCGATGTGATTCTGTATAAAACCTAAGCTGAAGCGCGATTAGTTTTCCTTGTTTTAAGCCATCAACATGGATACAAGTCACATTGTACACTAGAAGGTTCGTCAACTGATTTCGTCAACCTAACCTTACCCGACCCAACGTAACATTACCCGGCCAAACCTAACCTAACATTACCCGGCTTAACCTAACCTTACCTTATTATTGGATGAGGATATTCAGCATTTAAATAATAATCGCTAATACAGCACAAAATTCAGTACTCATCGTTAATATAATATAAGACCACTATCGTATATATATCTTATTTTATTTTATTTTATTTATATATATACAAGAAGGTACATTGGGTTTGAAAGAATACATTGGATAGTACAGTATTTACATTCTTGTAAAGCCACTAGTACGCGCAGCGTTTCGGGCAGGTATTATATATACTATAAGATTCACTAGGACTAAATTATTTTTGGTAATTGGTCAGTAAGCTCTTGTATGGCATGTAAGCATCCATGGAAGATTATAGACTCTGATAATGACCTTTTGTGCCCTCTGAAATCCTTTTTTTTTTTTTTTTTTTTGCGCTACTGCTCATAGGATGGGTATGGGGTGCACAATAAACTAGCCGCACAATCAAAGAGCCTCATAAGAGGCTAATAGGCCTTAAACCACAATAGAACGCCAAATAAGTTTGTACTCAATTATCTCAATGTACAATGCCATTTCATAACTACATCCTGGTCAGTAGTTGACCTAGGGAGGGGGGGGGCCTAGATATGCCTAAATACAGGATTCCTGACCCCCAAACAATGGTAATTATATTTTATGTTCAAACGGCAGCCCATCCTCCTGAAATTATAGTACTCATAGTAACTGAGAACATGTGGTCTAAGGTGTGTGCTTTGGAGTACCCAGAGTACAGGTTCGAATCCTCGTGACGATCCTCCTCTTTTTCTGATTTTCCCATTGATACAACACGTTAATGTGATTGATCTGTGCACTTATAGTAACTATTTAGTCCGAAATACCCAAACTTCAAGTATTCCTAGGCCTAGTATTGCACATATTTGTACTATAGCCTGCTTAAGATAGCGTGTATTATACATAGGATTGCTAGGAGCGGTTAGGCTAGGAAAAGTTAATTTGGGTTAACTTAGGAGAGGCTATGAGACGTTAGGTTAGATTTGCTTAGATTAGGTTAGGAAAGGTTAGGTTAGGTTAGGTCTTTTATTTATGTTGCGGTAAAAAACGATCATTTAAATGTTTTAATCACACTGGGGGAATAAATCTTCCTGTACTAAGCTTCTTGTTGTTGTTGTCTCAAAATACCACTGTTAACAGTTCATAATTACTTTAATTAATTCATTATGGAACAGTGGCAAAAATTTATGTACAAAATGTACATTTCTTTTCTGAATAATTGTATGCATAATTTTTGTATTAAACAATAAAGGCTATAATTCGTATATTTGGCAATTGAACAATTTCTAAGAATATAAATGACCTTATTGGGCATTTTAAAGTATGATAATTTTCAAACAAGACTGAAAATCTAATATATATAATGGGTATAAAGTGTAAGCGTTAAACCTGTCTGACTATAGTGTGTGAGGAGCGCCGGGGCCGCCCAACCCAACTGGTGGAGCCTCGCGGCAGCTTGTCCTTCTCGCGTTTATATATGGAATGCCAAAGAAATTAAGAGGCTTGGCACCGTTCCTGTAGCTCTCGTTGCTTCATCATCTCTATTATACTGCGGGTGTCGGCTCTCTGCAACGTGTGTGTGTGTGTGTGTGTGGGGTGTTTTACAGTCTAAACTAACAAGATATACATGTACACAATTCCTCACACAACGCCTGTATGTTGTAGCGACGACTATATAGCCTCTGTAAACGGTTGTAATTTCTAATTTAACCGGATGACTAAACCGCTGTATTTTCTCCGCTTGTAAATTGAATCTCATCCATCCTGGCTGACGGTGAGCAAGGGCATATAGACATATGAGGACATATGAGGTCTTGCTAATCACGACTCGCAGGGAAGGAATTTAGGAATACTTTACTTGTATATCTAATAATGTTCGATTAACGCAGTAAATTCAATTAGAGATTAAAGAACACACGAAATAAATGAATAAGTTATACAACCCTCTTGATCATGATACTTGATATTAAATCCTTAACAGAAGGCATCATGAATCCTACACTCTTCACAAACTAGTGAATAAATGAAGACTAATTAAATTGCAAAATGATGCTTCATACCTTATTTACATACATATGCAGAGTCTTCATAAAATACATACAAATTCAACACTGATCATACTGACGCCAAGGCAACATTTAATTATAAATCCATAAAAAAATACAACTCAAATAAATCAAATAATCGATAAAAAGTTCGAATCCGCCTCGGAAGCTTCCCACACACACACACGATGACCTCTAGTAAGCTCCAGCATTATACAACCAATCGTTTTAGGGGATGAAGTCGAGGGCTTAAGAATGTGGACGATTTTCAGGCTGCGGCGAAATGCCTGGATTGAGGTAATGAACCAGGATTATCAAGTGTGTGTATCTCCAAGTCCCGGGCCAACTCCTCCAATCAGGTGTTTCTGGAGGAAACACCTGATTGTGTTTCTGGTTTTATTTGTGTGTGTATGTGTGTGTGTGTGTGTGTGTGTGGGTGTGCGCTCACTCACCAGGGGCACATATACAACAGCAGCTGAGTGTGAGTTAACAAACTATAAAGTGTCTACAAGTACCAGTGCGTTAATATTCCCTACCGTGGTCAGATGATGGGGTTCACTGCTGGTGATGGGGCTTATAACAGGTTCGTGAACCATAAACTACTATTCCAATACGACCACGACAGGCAGACAGCCTTGTGGTTGCCCCCCACCTCTCACACCAACCACTGGCTATAGGTTCTGAACCTCACAACCGTATCACTAATGCCACTTACACAACGTGAACCTGCCCTCTCTCCAGCTCCCCTCACTGTGAGAGGTTCAAGGTGATAGCCGGCAAACCTCCGACCGAGAGCCTGAAATAGAACTACCTTTGCCTTTGCGAGAAACCTAGTGCTACCAGCATCCAAACAGGTGCTCCACGTTTTCTTTCTTTTTTCTCCGCGTGAAAGAAAACTGGTAATTATGCTAAACTATTGTAAATGGTTGACCAAACCACACACTAGAGAGTAAAGGGACGACGACGTTTCGGTTCGTCCTGGACCGTTCTCAAGTCGATTGTCTTGAGAATGGTCCAATATTGTAAATGGTATGCAAGTTGACGCAGGCAAGCTATTTATTTTACATGATTTACCTGAGGGCCACTAACTCTAGTAGCCTCGACGAGGACAAGAAGCCGGCGGCTTATCGACCTCTCCGCCCTATCTGCATTGATAATCTTTTCCATTTATTTATATACAAGAAGGCACATCGGGTTGTGAGAGTACATACATTGATGATTGAGTGTTACATTTTTACAAAGCCATTTCACATGCATAGCGTTTCGGGCAGGTCCTTAAGCTAATCAATAAATAAAATAATAGATAGATTGGTAACAGAATTTTAATTTAGCATAATAACTACATTATAAATTGATAGATGTTACTGATGAAGTTACATGTCTTTACTGATAAGCTGGATGAGTGAGTAGCACAGCATACAGTGTGAGTTAGTAGCCCAAGGTGGGATATTATGGAGAGGAAATTAGGTACTTTTTTGTTCTACTTTTGAATAAAGTACAACTTTTTTCATTTCGACATTTGTTGGACATTTTTTAATTCATTAGGGAGTGAATTCCATAGACAAGGTTCTTTTATTGGCATGGAGTATTTGAACAAGTTTAGTCTGACTACGAATATCAAAGAGATATTTATTTCTGGTGTGGTGCTCATGGGTTCTATTACATCTATCAAGGAAGAGTTTAAAATTAGGATTAGAATCAAGGAATTAGGTTTTAGTTTAGTTTAGTTATTATGTACCTCATACCGATCCTGTGGGCGGTAGTGAACCCCATACCGATCCTGTGGGCGGTAATGAACCCCATACCCATCCTGTGGGTGGTAGTGGACCCTATACCCATCCTGTGGGCGGTAGTGCAAAAGGTTACAGATTCCTATAATTAGCTCAGAAACTGAACCTCTAACTTCATTTAGCTAAGCAAGTTACAGTCTTCTTGTAAGTGTAAATAGCACTTGAATGTGTGGAGTGAGTGTATATTCAGCATGTTCAGAGATTTAAACAGAGGGGCTGTGTGTTGTCTGAAGACAGAGTTTGTTATAGCTATGATAGCACATTTTTGCTGAGTGGGTTTGTCGTGATTTGCAGTGGTTGAACCCCCATGCACAAGATACCGTATGTTAGATATGGGATAGTAATATAGTGTAAGAAAAGTAATAGTAGTTTAGTTTAGTTCATTTATTATGCACTCCATACCCATCTTGTGAGCGGTAGTGGAAAGGGTTGTAAAGGCACATAATGGGCTCAGGGATTGAACCCCACAGTTCATTTAGCTAAGCAAGTTACAATATTGATGAGCTAGTTACAAAATTCAGTGCACATCGTCACATCTACAGTGGGCTCGAGATCGACCACAAGTACAGTTTCTAAATTGAGCAACTCACATATGTGGAGAGCCTAGTGTCATAATTGATATGTTTGTCCTGCACACCGCCCCCCATCCAGTGGGCAGCGGTGGATAGGTTACAATCACTCAGTTACTACCTACAGTTAGCAAACTGGCGATATTTGGCTAAGATTTCTGGTAGCAGATCATTTTGAATAAAATATCAAAGGCCTTTCTTAGGTCAAGGAAGAGACCAATTGGGACCTCATTTTTGTACAAGGCCTGTGTAGATTAAATCAAGCAAACTAATAATAGATTCACTGATATTCGTTTGGAATCGGAAGCCAAACTAGCTAGGACTTAATATGTTGAATTTCACAAGATAAGAGTAAATCTGTAATTAACTTTTCAATTTGTTGAACTTTAAAAATCCAGCTTAAAAAAATCATCAGGACCTTTGACAAGCCGCCGGCTTCCTGTCCGCGTCGAGGCCACTAGAGTGTTAGTGGCTCGCAGGTAAATTCGGGTATGGTGTTCTTTTGATGTACGAAATAATTGTTGTGTTTGTACGAAACATGCAGTCTACGAAATAACTATTGGTGTACGAATCATATAGTGTTTGAAACTCCTATATTTTTAACTGGCGCGGACCTCTGCTTCTCTATCTCATCTACAACATACACAAACATATTAAAAACTGCAATAAATCAACTAAATCAAAAAATAATTTAAGAGAAAATGTGTTTAATCGGAGTTATGAATTTGTATTAATTAACAAAGGAAAATTGTGCAAGTCGTGAATGCAAGCACATGGACGAATGTTGACAAACTGGCCGGGAGGACGTGTTGTTGTCTAGTCCTTCTCCCTCATTCTTCCCTCACTCACTCACTCTCCCTCATGTAGGTGGCTCAGGTGGGTGTCACGGCTTCACCATAGGCTTCCCCGAGTGCTCCAAGCCTCGAAGGCTCGTCTTTTTATTTAACTGTTGTGTGTAGTGTTGTTGCCGAGGTGGCTACTGGAGGTCCAGTCAACTCTACACACACACACACACACATTATGTGCATCACGCAGCGCGTTTTCTATATTTTATACTGAGCTGAATACAGTATATCATATTTTTTGATAGGGTAAAGCTATGCTAAGTTGCGTAAAGGTTAGGTGAGCTATGGCATACTTCCTTCAAGCTCAACATGTCTCATTGTAGGACAAAACAGGAGAACTACTTGTGGTTGATCTCGAACCCATTGATGATGTGACGACTTATATGGAATTTTGTAACTAGCTCATCAAGATTGTAACTTGCTTAGCTAAATGAATTATGTTTATAATTCATTTATAAACACATTTATAAGTGAATTATATGGATGAATACTGCGCCCATTATGTGTCTTTGTAACCCTTTCCACTATCACCCAGAATATGGGCATGGGGTGCATAATAAATGAACTAAACTAAAAAACTAACTTGAAACCCATGAAACCGCCTACCCGTTGAAGTTGTAAATGCCAGGACATTACTTCAGATTCAAAATTCAGTTGGAAAAAGTTATTGGTTCCTGTCCACATCGAGGCCACTAAGAGAGATGCTGGCCCTTCTCGAGAATTTAAATATTATCATACGAGTGGAAAATTTAAGAGGATTGCATTTTTCAAGATTGGTAGCCTGGGACGGATACAGTAATGGTAAATGGGGATGTGGAGGTATGCAGCTGTGCATTTTTATGCCATGTTTCAAAGTGCTCGGGGGAATTTTAAAGTTATGCCTGTTGAGAATAGATTTAAGTTTGGCTGGCACACACTACATTTTGTTTATAAAAACTTTTTTTTTTTTTATATCTATGCATCAATGTTCATCCCAACCTTTTTGAGATTCATTATATGCTCAATATGTGGCATGAACATTAGATGTTAAAGTTAAAATAGGTGTTTTATGGAGTAAAGAATGGTAATAACTATAAATAGGCTTTTTGAAAGTCTGGAGTCTAACACTATTTTCTTACAATTTTGAGTTTGATTTGCATAATTTGTGCAAGAACATAACCCATGCACAAATAGACTGCTTTGTGCATGCAAACCATAAAGTTACTTTTGTTGAAAAGGAATATAAATGGATAAGTATATTTTCAAGTGCCCAGTATCTGTAACCTTGTTTTTGAACATTTTTGTTTTTCCTTTTTTTCTCTGGGCTGTTGCCATTTTATTATTTCATAAAAAATTAAAATAGGTTAATGACCTTCTTTATTTTGTATAAATTTTGACAAAATTCACCTCGAGTTTGAAATTAAAGTTAAAGGTCAAACTGACCCAGAGATTTTCTGTGGCTATTTTTGTTCATGAAGACTGCAACATTTGTAGTATAATTTCTATACTCATTTTTATTATCTATATTTTTTTTACTCAAAGGACGTGCCAGAAAAAGCCAGATGTAGGACAATGAACTCCAATGTTACGCCCACTGAAGAGAGACTGGTACCATCATACCACCGTCCACCGTGTCTGTCTTCCCTTGCTGCTGGGGCCGTTGCTCGGAGCCTCACGTATGAGGATTATGAAGAATGCAATCATTATAGGTAGTAACACCTTTCCTGGTCAATATTTGTAATGTCATTTTAGGATTCAATGTTGGAAATTTATATTTCTAAACTGACGATTTTTGCAGATCAGTGACCGTACCATAGACTACTGCATTAAGAACTTGGACCACCACACCAGTAAGCAAAAGTTTTCATATGATGTATAAGAAAAATTCTTTTACAGATGGTTTGGAGAAATAAGAGTGTAGGTAATCTGTTTGGTGTTTTGGTATTCTGAAGGAGATGTTTTGGGTTCAAAGCTTCAGTGGGTGCAATGATTAAAGTTATAAAATGTACAGTATCTACCTTTTGTCTACCTATTGTTGAGTCCTGGAATCAGTACCCCCTACGGCCTGGTTGGTGGTCTGTTCATCCAGGTTGTTAGATGCCGCTGCTGGCAGTCTGATTTATGAATCATAACCCGGTCATTAGGCACTTGACAGTAAACTGTGGAGGTCATCTGAAGAAACCATAATTAAAGTTCATGCAATATTGTTTTCTCAACAGTTATATTTTCACAGTTTTCTTCCTATTAAATGACACAATAATTTAATTTTTTAATTTTACCATTTTCTTTAAATTTGTATTGGCAGATGGGACCCTGTCACAATATGGCAATATGAGTTACCACAAAAGAAGAAAAAAAATAAAAAGTCTGCTGAGAGAAGCCAGATATATAACCTGAATGATGTGACAATGCCAGTTCCAAAGCCACAATGGGTATGTTGATTTTGGTTTTGTAAAATGTACTGTGTTCCTTTTGTGAGCTATTGCATTCAGTTGTATCTTTTAGATAAGAATTGGCTGTGATATAAACAAGATTCATGAACAGTCAGGCAGCTTAAACTTTAGATACCGTCACAATGGAGATTTTTCAAATGTCTTTGCCTAGTCATACAAAGTGCTACACAAGGAGTTACAGAAGAAAAGCTCAGTCCAGCTGATGATGACCATTGGAGGAACATCCATAAAGACACTGAGAATTCTCATTTGGCATCCCAATTGAATGAAAAATGAGGCTTCATTTGCTATCTTAGCCATAATTACAACATGTAGTTTCAACATGTACAACCTGTAAAGGTCATACATGAAGAACTCCCAGAACCCCATCCAGGTACAATTCAGTTGCTACAACTACTAAGTGGCAGCATGGATGACTATCCAAGGTTCACAGATCAATTCATATCACATTCTTCCTGAAGCTAACACAAATCTGCATGCAAGAATGAACAGGTGAACGTGGATGAAACCAAGAGTAGTAGAATGGCTATGCTTGGAATGAATTTTATTTTTACTCAAATCTTGATTTCTGAGTAATTACACTTGGTTGCTTCCTAAGGCAAGTGTCTGAAAGAAATTCTTTTGTTCAGTAATAAGAAAGAACTAAATGAGGAATAAGTACTCGCCTGCGATGCAATGGTACCTAAGGAAGCGGGTAAAGAACTCTCATCCTGCAGAGGACAGACCACCTGGAAGGATTCCATCATGTGGTTGGCCACACACTTTATGGCCAGATACAAGGTATTATTTGGGAGATGAAATTCTTAAGAGTCAGAGAGAGAGAGAGACCTAAGGGTTGATATCACACCAGACCTGTCCTCTGAAGCCCATATCAAGTGGATAACATCAGCTGTATATGCCAGGTTGGCTAACATAAGAACGGCCTTTAGAAACTTGTGTAAGGAATCTTTCAGAATTTTGTATACCACATATGTCAGACCAATCCTGGAGTATGCAGCTCCAGCATGGGGGTCCATATCTTGTCAAGCATAAGACTAAACTGGAAAAGATTCAAAGGTTTGCCACCAGACTAGTACTCGAACTGAGGGATATTAGCTACGAGGAGAGACTACGGAAATTAAACCTCACGTCACTGGGTGACAGAAGAGTTAGAGGGAACATGATCACCACATACAAGATTCGAAGAGGAATTGATATGGTAGATAAAGACACACTATTTAACACATGCACTAGGGGACACAGGTGGAAATTGAGTGCCCAAATGAGCCTTAGAGATGTTAGAAAGAATTTTTTCAGCGTCAGAGTAGTAGACAACTGGAATACATTAGGAAGTGATGTGGTGGAGGCTGATTCCATACACAGCTTCAAGTGTAGATATGATAGAGCCCAGTAGGCTCAGGAATCTGTACATTAGTTGATTGACAGTTGAGAGGCGGGACCAAAGAGCCAAAGCTCAACCCCCCAAGCACAACTAGGTAAGTACACTGACTTTGAAGGCTTGGGAAAGTGTCTGTCTGCAAATTCCATATCGGAGTGCTAGAAACCCCCTATGTATCGTGAGTTCTTAAAAATGATATCCTGAAGGTAAGCATTGGTTTGATTACACCTCATCTGATGCCGTAATTAAGAGATGCATGTTTTAGAACAGAAAACCATGGTTACAATGATGACTATACAAGGATGTTTATCAAAAGGTAGCAAGATATGTGTGTACAATAGTGAGGTCAGGATGAGCCCTACTGAAATGTGCTATCTTCATTTAACTATGGACAATATTTGCATGCCACATACCACATATTTTAAAGATGGTAACCTCCAGTAAGGAAATCATAGGCTCTGGTCAGTGGTTTCTTAACTAGGCAACTGGTTGTGGCAATAAGGCCTTAAAATACAGGATAAGTTGAGCCTATGACACTCCTTGGGTAACAAAGAGCGAGACCATGAATCACAATAATGTGGTTGAAGATATGATGACCAGAACCACACATTAGAAGGTGAAGAAACCACGATGTTTCGGTCTGTCCTGGATCATTATCAAATAGTGTGTGAGCTCACACGACTTGATAATGGTCCAGGACAGACTGAAACGTCGTCGTTTCTCCATTGTCTGATGTGTGGTTTGGTCATCATCAAAGCGCAAGTGTGGCTCGCAAATGACAATCCTCAGGTAACAGAGTACTGTATGGCTCAGGGATGACACTCAATTGGGTAACAAAGAATAGTTTAGAGGACCTGACCTAAAATTGAATGGATGTGGTGGCAATTACTAAGACAAAGGCAATGACTAGACTTTAATCACCAATATAGAAAATACTCCAATCCCACTTAACTATGGGGTTATCTTGAGGTTATCTTGAGATGATTTCGGGGCTTTAGTGTCCCTGCAGCCCGGTCCTCGACCAGGCCTCCACCCCCAGGAAGCAGCCTGTGACAGCTGACTAACACCCAGGTACCTATTTTACTGCTGGGTAACAGGGGCATAGGATGAAAGAAACTCTGCCCATTGTTTCTCGCCGGCGCCTGGGATCGAACCCAGGACCACAGGATCACAAGTACAGTGTGCTGTCCGCTCAGCCGACCGGCTCCTGGTCGGCCGAATCAAGCACCTTGGCTAGATTTCAGTGTGAGACAAATTTATTCGATTGTGATTAATTAACATAGTAAGAAGAACGTACTTTATTGTTCTTTACGATATCTGTTGTCTGTATTTTATGCATATTTTGAGTGGTATAAAGATACTGAAAGTCTCTTCTTGATCTGTTGCACTTGCTCTTTGCCCCAACTGGGTCTGATCCAGGTGATGATTAAATCCGATGATTAAATACAGTCTCCGTGGTGTAGTGGTAAGACACTCGCCTGGCGTTCCGCGAGTGCTATGTCATGGGTTCGTATCCTGGCCGGGGAGGATTTACTGGGCGCAATTCCTTAACTGTAGCCTCTGTTTAACGCAACAGTAAAATGGGAACTTGGATGAAAAGACGATTCTTCGCGGCGGGAATTGTATTCCAGGGACCTGCCCGAAACGCTACGCGTACTAGTGGCTGTACAAGAATGTAACAACTCTTGTATATATCTAAAAAAAAAAAAAAAAAAAAAAAAAAAAAAATTTATATCATGGAAACATAAACGTTGCTGCTAACTGAACCATAAATAATGGATGTAGGAATTGCATAAAGTTTTAAGTGATTACTGGTACAGTACTTGGTTGGTTTTTACATATTGTTTATGTTCAATAAATTGAATCATGTGTGGCTCATCCTGAATTTGTGTTAGCTGACTGTTATCATGAATGTCCAAAAATTCAGGAATTACAATTGATTCAGTTTCTCATTCTGCAGGAATTGCAGTAACCTTAATTTTCTATTAGTTAAAAACTCAAGCACTTGAATCCAAATTGATTCAGGTCTTTCATTTAGTAAAACCTTTTAACCCGAATTCCTATTTGGGTTAAAAGGTCAAAAAGTGGTTGGACTTGAATATGAATTCACTTGGATTACTGTACTTGGACATTTAAGTTATCAGAATGCAAATTACAGAGTTCTTACAGTACCATATTTTCTGGCACATAAGGTGCCTCTTGTTTACAGAGATATTTTATGCCGTGATCATTTTGTCTTGCATTTATTGACAATTTTATTTGTGTAAATAAAATATAAATTTGGTTGATAGTGGACTAAAAACATGCAACCTATCCACCAGTAAATATGGAAATTAAGATAATTAAACATATCAGTCCCTCTCAGAATTGAATAAACATTTTTTGTAAAAAATCTGATTAGCACTATCTGTAATAAACACTTGAAATATGAATCATAACTGTTAATATAAAAAGATTTTTGCATTAAGTAATATTAAAACATTACATTTTGACATTCAACAGCAAGAAATGAGGAAGTTTCGTGACTGGTGGTGGAACACGAGTACGCTTGGAAGCCTAGATTCAGTGCTGCGTGCACAAGTTGTAAATGCTTTTGAGCAGTTAAGTTGGACCTCCAAAACAGAGGAAGAATTTGTCCTTTTCTTGCTACTCCGACTCTGCGTTGACACTAGGATTGAACTTGGTGGGGAACGCTTTGAAATTTTGAGGTAGGAATATATTTTATTGTGAATAACAATTCTTCATTTGATTGTCACCAGTTTCAGTAACATAATTTAGTTTTTTATACAAGTAGAATTAAAATTATGTACTATTATACAAATAGCATATGCTGTACAGGCGTTTATACCATATTCACGTAGGTCAGGCCCAAAAGCAAGTGGATAACTGGCTTTCATGCCAAGGTCATACAAAGGTCAACTCAAGGGTTGATGTTTTGTATGCCAAGCATTAGCTTTCAACAATGTAAATGTGAAGATGTAATGGCAGTGTGTGATTAGGGTACTGTACTGTAAAGCCCGAGGATACAACATCTCTGAATATAGTTCCAATGCCTGTAGTTTGTTTTTATCGAATTTACTTAACATTTTGTAATGTAATATATATCGATGAGCTATTACTGTACAGTAATTGTGAATTATGTGAGTTGTGTATTCATTGGACAAGTTATATTGTTTGTATTTATTATTTAAAACCTGTAATATGACCCTGTAGTGAGAGCTGAAAAGATCCCCACAGAAGTTGTCTTGTATGATTGTGCATGATCCTGTCCAGTGAAAACAGCTGATAACACAGCTTATTTTACTGTAGGGAGTATCACAAAGCTCTACTCAGAAAAGAGCTTTGTATATTATTCAAAGCCTACTTTTTTTATATCAATTTAATCTATGTTCCCTATTCTTTCATTCTTATATTATAAAGTACAGTAATAAAGTGATGACCTAACCACAATTTGGAAGATGGAGAAGCTACAACGTTTCGGTCCGTCCTGGACCATTTTGCGTATGTACTACCTGTATTTCTATCTATAAATCCAACATTATGTTTGTAACTCATCTTCTATGTATGTACTTTTACCTGAATAAACATTTGTATTTGATTTGATTATCAAGTCGTGTGACTTGATCAACGTATCCTCCGAATAGACGGTATGTTTTAATACTAAATGTAATGAGTAAATTTCCTGACTGTCCTGCATAGTACATAATTACACTTCTTATGCTGTTATATTTACCTCCCCATATATTTTCCTCAATTTCTATTAAGACACTAAAATTTTAGGATGAAGTTTTCATGTTCTATTCTATATACACAAGTTTTAAATACAAAGAATTTCTTTTTCAGTTTTATTAAACAATAGAGATTTTATACAAAATTTGAAAATATCCTGAGTTTATAATTTATTGAAAGATTTTAGTCTTGTTTTATTAGTTTTATAAAACTGTAATATCAATAAATCTACAGGTTAAGTACTAATTGTAATTAAGAGGCAATAAAATGGTTGTCCTCATACACTAAGAAGGTTAGGTTAGGTCGTGGTTTTCTATTCAGGTTTTCAAGTAAATTCACAATATTTTGGTGCGATTCTGGCAATTAAGTATATTTATTTACTAAGCCTTTAGTCAGGATTGTACTTGCATTTAGTATTAAAACGTACTGTATTCGGAGGAGGGGCTGGACTTGATAATGGTCTAGGATGAACCGAAGTGTCGTTGCTTCTCCATCTTCTGAATTGTAGTTTGGTCATCATTTCTTAAGCTGTATTATTGTGACTCATCATCTGCATACAGTAATAAAAAAGCAATTCATCTATGTATCTCCCTGTCTCTTTGCTATCATATTGGCATCCGGAGTGATATTTAGGACCTTCTGAACATCCCGCAACACAGACCCTGCTTAATAGACTTCCCAGCTTGGTGCCTTCTTTTGATAATTACTTGCTTTGTCTTGCTATTATTTTTTCAGTGAATGGTGTTTGGATCTTGCTCAAGTAATAGCACAACTGGGGCCATTCCCACTTCAGAAGTTGTTTGTAACTGATGATAAACTGGGAATTAAGCCTGTCCTTACTGCTCTGGTGCAACAGTCTCCACATCTACAGGTCAGGGACTTAGGGTAATCTTGCATGTTATTGGTCTCGAGTACTGTACATTTCAACACCGTTTTGAAGATACTCAACTGAATCAGCAGTAACTTAAAAGAATAATGGATTATTGTCATATTTAGTAATAGATTTAGCATTTTCCTGTTCAGTAACATTTTTCCATATTCATGACTTTTCCCCTGTCTGGTTGAGATTATTAGAATTCCCATGGGCTGGCTAAATTTATCTGCAGCAGGAGCTTTCTGATTGAAGAAAATATTATTTGTATAATGAATGATTAAATTAATCTATAAAGGGGAAAAGACCTTTGATGCCAGAAAGCAATGTGGCAGGTTTGGCATGCTAAGATTTCTGTCTCATGGTCACTTCTCTAAGGTGACTTTCCAGTAAAGTAGTGGTCAGATAATGTATATAAAGTTACTGTATCTTGTGTAGATGTTTAATCTTGCTCTCTTTTTCCTCACTTCAGGTGTTAAAAATGAATCAGTGGGCTCTTAGTAACGACTTCATGATATCTTTGGGGAGTCGCTGCAGGATGCTTACAGAATTTGCCATTCCATTCATGCAGCCACAAGTGTTTATGAGTGATGAGTCATTATTTGGATGTTTTTTTGATGGCATGACAAGTGAAGAGGTTGTATGCTGTTGGAAAGAAGGCACAAAACCAAAGATATCATTTGGTCACCTTAAATATGTTGACATTCTATACTGGAAGCAAACAGAAAGGTTTATTCAAATGTTGTGTGTTTTCTATCCAAATGTGCGCTTGTGTGGAATTGATGCTTATGTGGACGAGAGTGCAAAGAGTCTTGTACAACCCTTCTTGGATGTTGGGGCCCAAGTCATGGCAATGAGGGTCAGCTGCAGGACCAAAGGTATTCTTGATGAGAGATTAAGGAGTCTAGTCAACAATGCTCCAGTCTTACGAGAACTTAGACTGCACGTCGATGATAACTTTGAGGGTGCAGACTGCAATTCTGTGTTTGCAAGGAGATTGGAAGAAGCAGGAGCAAAACTAGAGAAGCTGGTGTCTCAGATTAGTGCATTTGAATCTCTTGCCCTTCGCCCCTACGAAGAAGTAGACATCATGAAAGTTGTTTTGCCGACACTACATGCTCAAGGCAGCTGTATTACCAGCCTGCATATTTGTTACGAATACTCTCAACTTAACTCCAACACCCTTTATCAGATCATTAACCTGTGCCCAAGGTTATATTTTCTGGCAGTGTCTGTGGCAATGAACGATAGTGATGATGCGTCCAGAAACTACAGGTGGGTGAGCTTAGGGTGACATTTATGTAGTATCTTTGATAAGTTCCTTTACTCTGGTTCAGAAAGACTATAGTATACTCTTGAATATTTTTCTTAGCACTGGTTACCTCGCACTGTATTACAGTACAGTATATAGTTAAGTGGGAAAATTAGTCTGGTTTGCACATCATCCTTCTTGTCAACACACGTATGGTCTGTGGGGTGGTGGTAGTTTTTGTTCCCAAAGTGAACCACCCTCTTCACCCACTCTCTATGATACATAAAATGGCTATATTGTACTCATTTTGATTTGCAAACCAATACTGTATCGACCAAATATTGTTTATAACTTCTACCTGGATCAAAGGCTACATTAAATAGAGAGAGTTACAAACTAAAAAAAACAACAGGAGTTTTATTTTGTGATTGACTTGCCCTGTTTCAAATGGGAATGGAGGCACTAGTAAAGATATTGGAATTAAATAGAAGTGGGTATAAGATATGATTATGGTAGGGTATGGTGTAATTTGCCTTATCCCAACCAGAACTGTCCTTCGCCCCTGTGTGACGTTGCATACCCTCGTGATCCAGGACATACCCTCGGAGACTGACACCACACCTGACGCTTCCTTCACCATGGTGGTGGATAATATATTGAAATCTGCTCCTAACTTAGAGGTATGTAATATTTTATTAAGGGTGTTTGTATGATGCACAGGACTGTATTCTTTTTATTTATACTTTTTGCATGTTGTACAATTTGTAATATTAGATCAATAAATTCTTAAATGTATTGCTTTTGTACCACATGTTAGGCCATACAAGTATTTCCGAGATTTGTCCACAATATCCAGTGGGTTTTGTAATGATTTGTAAATATTTTTGTCGGTGATTTTCTCGATGGTTTCACCATTGAGAAAAACCTCGTTTCACAAGAGACCAGAGTCTATGCCTCATACATTATTGTTAAATGAGATATTAGATGTAGACAACCATTGTTTGGGAGCCTCTTTTTAAACTATACAGTACTACTATATTTTCTAGTGGAAAGGACTCGCATTTTGGTCCACCGCTGAGTATATATATTGTATTTATATGCAAAAATTCATGGTTTTTCCTAGAAAGCCTCTTGAACATTACTTTCAATAAATTGATGATGAAACAGAATAATCCCACAAAATATCCTTGTAAAGTAGATGCATCATATACACCGGCAAGCACGGTAGTAACTGCACGTACATAATTTACCACACTGATATCCCTGCCGTGTAATCTCTCACTGACCATATGGGTACTTTTCCCAAATAGAGTAACCTGCTTTCCATAGTTTTATTGCCAGTTGAAAAGTTAATTTCATGCATGTTCTTTCATATATTGTATTGTTTGTAACTGGCAAGTACAAGGCAGGTCCAGGACTGCATCCCCACTCACTAGGTAGTTTGTATCATATTGCCATGAACTGCACTAAAATATTTCTTTTCCAATTGCTTGGTTTTATTATGGGGTGCTATGAGAATAGAGTAGGAAAAGAAACTTGTGGAGAGATGTGGATTGCAATATTCAATAGACCACAGAGGTTGAGGAGAGTGTACTGAGATGGCAGACTGCTGAGGAAAGTGTATACTGGAGAAAAAGGAAATTAGAGGGTATGAGAGGAAAATGTGAGGTGGGGATGGTGAGTGCGTGAGGAGGCAAGTGTATTTGTTAACTCAAGATATAGCAAGGGACAGTTCTGGATGGGTACTAACCATAATTCTTCTGTTCTACAGATGCTGGGATTGTCATGTGACCTGGACATGGAAGACGAGTTTGTTCTTTTATCGTCTGATTCTGTTAAAACTCTTCATCTTCAGTTTTGCTCTGATTTAGGCAGTCTGTCAGCCTTGCAGATTTTCCTGCAGCACCTTCTACCTAATTTTCCCAATCTGAGGACCCTTTCCTTGGATGAAAGAGATGGTACTCTTGACTTTGAGTCGCTGGCCCCGGTGTGTCGGGCTGAGATCAGTGTCACAAGATGGAAACCAGAGTTTTTCCAGTTGCCAAAATGGGATAGTTCGTGTGGCTCGCAGAATACGTTCTCTCTATATGTGATGTAAACATATCAGAAGGCAGTCTGTTGTTGTCGTTCATGCATTGATATCTTGTTAGTTCATTTTTATTTAATGGCTGCAAAAATGTCAGTAACATTCCCCCATCAAGTATTTTATAAATTGGTAATAATACTGTATAGCAAAATATAGCCCTTTCTCATTTTTTCTTAAGTGTTGATAGTGTCATGAACCAAGACCCAAAAATTAACATCTCTATTAATTTGGTATACATGTTGACCTCAACAATGCTAATACTACTGACTGTGCCGGCTGTGCACTATCTAATGTACTTCTTGAATCATGTTTCTGTAGACCAGCACATTTAAAATATTTTATATAAACTAATTTGTATAACCAGTTTATTTTGACACTCGCACCCATATTCTGTTTACATGCTAACATAATTTGTTAAAAGTTTTGGCTCTAGTTAACATCTTGCCTAGTATAAAACCCACACTTTTGTACAGTATTTACGTAGTTTACGTAAAGAATTGAACTACACTCAAGTCTTTAACACTCTCCCGAGTGCATTAACAAGATCCGAGTACAGTATCTGGTTTGAACAGGAGTTGCATTTCAATGACCAATATGTATGTATGACCAGTATGTGATAGGTCGTTGAAATGAACAAATCCACAAGGGCCTTGACAAGGATTCGAACCTATGTCCGAGATCATCCCAGACACTGCCTTAATCGAATGAGCTACGGCATGGTAAAAAAAAAAATAGAGTTGAAACCAGAAGTTGTACCTAACCTACTTGGATCCTGCAGCCTCTCCGAGGCACAAACCAGGGTTTAACACAACTCCCCCATGCACTCGAGCTATGTCAATAGGCCGTTCTACCTCTTCGCCCTTACTTCATTACACACAGAAATCACAGATGATCTCGGACGTAGGTTCGAATCCTCGTCACGGCCCTTGTGGATTTGTTCATTTGATGCATCACGCTATTGTGATTTCTGTGTGTAATTTCATTGAAATGTAAGTCCTGTACAAACCACATGCTCAGTCCTTGTTAATGCACTCAAGAGAGTATGAAAGACTTGGTGTAGATCAATTCTTCACATAAACTATGTAAATATGAAGGATAACAAAAACACTTACATTTTTGTCTGTGATAAGACATTTACATAACGTATCTTGCCTAGTGCTATATTTTTATTTATCTTCGTTATCGCTGAAGCAGTGTAATGATGGACTTTAGAAAAACACGGTCTTAACATTTTGGACCTTGGGATTTGTATCGAAAACACTGCAGATTCCTTATTGTGAGCATCTATGGCCTGGTTGATAGATTGAAACTCAAGCCTCAGAATACAGAGGCTCGCCCTGTCAACCAGTCCATGGATAAGGATTGACAATAAGTATTACAATAATGAATCTTTAATGATCCAAGTGAATGAAACTCCAGTTAAGCTTTTAAAGTGAATGACATGATTAAATTGGTATATATAGTGCACCTGTTTAAGATTTCAAACATGCTTGTATCTTGAGGAGATTCAGCCTGACATCTCGGTGATACAAATTTTAATTCTAGAATTTATTTTAAAATTCATGCTCTGTATACAAATTTTACCATAAATAAAAAATTGAAAATTGGCAGTAAACACGGTGGACCTTATTTATCATACAATGGTTATAATATGTACAGTACAGTACTGTACCCACGTGTGTGTGAAATGTTCTTGCTTGTGTGATAACATTATTGTTATTACTAGTTGCTTTCTGGATTCACTGAATATGATCTTCTCACCAGTGGAAATTACGTCTTGCCATTAAATAATTTATAATTCTTCATGTATACGTTTACACTGACATATCGTGTCCTTGCTGACAAATTAATGGTGCTAACAATGTAATAAGTTTAGACATATTGGGCAATCATATTGTGGCAATTAGATATTATGAATAAGTTTTTTCCCATCTGAGTAATGTGTTCTGCAAGTACCCTCAGGAGTCCACTTTCATGAATGATTGATTATACATCTTACCCAAGTTGCATGCACTGAAATTTGTATTGCTCTGTATCATTAACATAATGAGAATAAATCTTACCAAATACATTTTTAGTACATTAAATCCCCTAATAGAGTAAGGGAATCTCACTCGTATCACTAGTAGTAGGCATCCATCAGTCTCGGGAGACTATAGAGTTGCTTTCTTATTGTCGGTTAGGAGTGGCACCATAACAATGGTTGTCGGTCAGGAGTGGCACCATAACAATGGTTGTCGGTCGGGAGTGGCACCATAACAATGGTTGTCGGTCAGGAGTGGCACCATAACAATGGTTGTCGGTCAGGAGTGGCACCATAACAATGGTTGTCGGTCAGGAGTGGCACCATAACAATGGTTGTCGGTCGGGAGTGGCACCATAACAATGGTTGTCGGTCGGGAGTGGCACCATAACAATGGTTGTCGATCGGGAGTGGCACCATAACAATGGTTGTCGGTCGGAAGTGGCACCATAACAATGGTTGTCGGTCGGGAGTGGCACCATAACAATGGTTGTCGGTCGGGAGTGGCACCATAACAATGGTTGTCGGTCGGAAGTGGCACTATAACAATGGAAATTCAGTAATATTTGCAGTATCCTGTTGAACTGTGTAGCAGAATAATATATAACTGCCATCAACATAACCTTAAAAGCTTTGGTATATTCTGAAATACACGAGAGCAATAGTGTTAATAAGTCTTCGGCAGCAGTTCTTCCAAGTGAGCGTTAATCAAAAAGTCGTAATGTCAAACTCCAAATATGTGCAGTGAGCTAGAATTCGGCTCAAAAATAACGCTCATGAGTCAGATTTGCGATATACAGTACCTGATACAGTATTTTGAAAACTAGGGGGGTTTGGGCAAAATGTGACCCATCGCCGTTTTCACTAATTGGTATGTTTTCGGTATAAAAAGTCGTAATTTCAAACTCCAAATATGTGCAGTGAGCCAGATTTTGGCTAAAAAATAACGCTCATGAGTCAGATTTGCGATATATCTGATATTTTGAAAACTGTAGGGGGGTTTGGGCAAAGTGCAACTCATCGCCGTTTTCACTAATTGGCATATTTCTGGGTACCAGCAGGTTCACTTGGCAAAAAAAAAAAAAAAGGTACCCAGATGGTAGGTAATTGTTGTGAGCTGCAACCTAGGATTGGCCTAAGGCAAGGGTGGGAAATCTCTTGTCATACGAAGGCTATATTTCACTTGGTGACAATTTCATAATACTGCACATTGTATTATATGCTGGAAACATTTGTATGTCAAAAAGAGATGCTACAGATCAAGTTTTCATTACTTAAAATTGCTTCTGAAGGCTGCACCTTCTGCCATAAAAAGTCACATGCAGCCTTAAATAAATAGGACCTGTTTCATATGGGCCAATAGGCCTCCTGCAGTTTCCTTTATTCTTATGTGCTAGTGTTTATAGATTTGCTAAGAACCATTATGTTGCAAATGAAGATGAAAATAATTAAGCACTCTGAAAGTTGATATTTCATCAAAGGTTATCTATAGGAGTTAGCTGCCCGACACTTGGACTACTGCATTCTGAAGAATAATAAAAATGTTAGAATAAAGTTGTTAATACTGAATTAAAAGCCCAGAATTAATTAAAAGAGTACCAATCATGTCTATAATTCCTGTTGATAGGCCAAGTCTATACTTAGGTTATTTGGGGTCCCCCTAGGCCAGGAGTTGGGAATTGGCAGCCTTAATGGGTTTTTCAGTGTTTTAACAACTATGCTTGTCAATGAGACATAGAAATAAATTTAAGGGAGGGAATTTTAAGAGAGGCTCAGGGAGCCACTGAGGAGACCCACTAGGACATGGCTTTTCATTACATTCAATGCTGTATATACAGTATACATGTATACTTTTAAGTTATCAACTTACAGTACAGTATTTAGAAAAACAGGAACTAGGAATAACAGAAACACATTTTACATAATTATATTTTAGCATTACTGTATTACTGCAAATAATTTGACAAGTTTCGACAACAGATGTGAAAACTGTGCTAACGTTTTGCCAGTGTAAAGGCAAAATTTTAATTAAAGTCTATGTTTATAAAAGGTTAAAATGCAATACCTCATTAATTTTTTCCTTAATTTTGTTAAAATTGCACAATTGCCTAAAATATTTAACTACTGGATTTTACTACAATAATTCATACATTTTATTACATTTACATCATTTTTGTTTTTCTTTTTGCTTTTCCTGTTGGGGCATTGGGATTTTCACCTTTATAAAATTCTTTCAAAAGATTAATTGCTTCTTCTGCTCGAACTCCCTTCTGAAGTTTCATTGGATACTTGTATAATTTTGGTATATCCACAACAGAACCACAGCCACCAAAGCGATCATTTGAGCAGCCATATATGATGTTCATGACACACAACTGACCAAGAGCGTCGGCGCACATCCCACATGGTTCCACTGTGACAAAAATGCTAATTTTTGGAAATACCGTTCTGTAGTCCAACTGTTGAACTGTACACCACGTAAGTGCTTGATCAATGCAGTTCATTTCTGCATGTCTAGTGGCATTATGAGTTTGGTTAACTGTGTTTCTACCCCTGGCTATAATTTCATTGTTAAAAACAAACACACAACCCACTGGTACTTCTCCACATGCTAATGCCTCTTTCGCTTGACTGAAGGCTTCAGACATCGACCGATCTTCTATTTCATCAATCATTTTGAAGGTGAAAAATTCTGTTGAAGAAGGTTCTGTTAAAAAACAGAACATGACATATGCATCAATGCATTTTTCTTAGCTTCCTACCGTATTGAGAAATTACTTGTCTCTTTGTAGCTGTCGTTATAACACCTTTCTTGTGTAGCCTCAAGGATTTGGTTTAAAATAGTGTATGATACCACTGTCTGTTAACTGCTTCGTTGCAATTGCATGCCAGCCTTTATTTGCAGCTGGATTGACAGGGCTCGGGTGCATCAGAGTGCTGACCTGGAATAATAACTACAATATATAATAACTACATATACAGTAATATAATATAAAAATATAATACTGTATAATATAATAACTATAAAATTGTATGATCGCAATAAAGACCAATTGTATTTTTGTTTACGTAATATTTGGTGATGTGAGTGAGTGAAGTACTGCAATGTATTAGCCAACATATAAAATGCACCTAAGTTAGAACGATGTTTTGTGGAAAATAAAATTTTTGTTAGTATGATTCGTCATATAATTACAGAAAGTGATTTGCACGTGGTTTTGTAGGGGTAAGCTATATGATCTGTACATGTAAATTGCAATATATTTGGTTGGTGGTGGACCAAAAACATGCATTCTTTCCATTGACAAAGACAGTATTCTATACAGCATATGATTCTGTTGCTTACATGATATGCCAGAAAATTGATAAAGAATGATGAAAATGGAGCTCAGGTAAAAAAATACAAATGTTTCATTATGAAATTAAAGCCGAGAGTATATTAAAGATTACTATGTAAATAAAGCACTATAATGTAGATTTAAAAATCATTTACTCGAACATACCTGGACACCTTCTATGCCGGCTTTGAGGAGTGCGGCCCGTGTTCGCACTGTAGCATAGTTACCTACACCGATAACATGCTCCACCCCAAGAAGTTCTATTGTCTTCACTAATGCGTCATCACAAATTTGTTCCAGTCTGGCACGTTCTTTTACCTGTTTAGCAAGGATGAACTTTATAATGCAATTATGACCCTTATTTTTTTTTTTTTTTTTTTTTTTTTTTTGAGATATATACACGAGTTGTTACATTCTTGTACAGCCACTAGTACGCGTAGCGTTTCGGGCAAGTCCTTAATCCTATGGTCCCTGGAATACGATCCCCTGCCGCGAAGAATCGTTTTTTCATCCAAGTGCACATTTTACTGTTGCGTTAAACAGAGGCTACAGTTAAGGAATTGCGCCCAGTAAATCCTCCCCGGCCAGGATACGAACCCATGACATAGCGCTCGCGGAACGCCAGGCGAGTGTCTTACCACTACACCATGGAGACTACATTTTCATCATTATGGGTACAGTACTTTTCAATCTAAGAAGCCACACTTTTTTCACTAAAACAACATCAAGGAATTATAACTACAGGGATGGTATTAGATAGCAAAACTGTCACCAGAGGCCCACATTAAGAGCATAGTAAGAGCTTATGCTACTCTGGCCAATTTCAATTATATTTATATTCATGGTTGAAAAAAATGGTAAAAAAATTAATTCACAATACCCATGAGACCTAAACTGGAATATGCAGCAACTGTATAGTGTCCATACTATATATGCTCTCCTACCTGGCTATTCCCTTATCCCATGCACTTAACTTTAAACCATTTTTCGATGGGGAATTTACCTCAAAACAATAATGACATTAGGTGGAACATCCCATGAGATTAATTTGAACTAAGTGATCACTAGACATCCAGGTATTATACTAGAACCTTGTGAGACTGTAAAGCTAACAGTTTTAACCTTGCAGATTGTTTATTTAATAGCAGGTCTATGAATGAAGACATTATAAAATTGTACAATCTATATACAGTGCAAAGTAAACAAAAAAATATATAAAATTAAAGATGGTAAATACTCTTACTATAGTCAATAATGTCAACAAACCTTCAATTCAGGGGGCGTGACATTTTTGGCAGACTCCTTGAGAAAGAAAAGTGGGCAGTAGTTATGGAGGAATAAGTGAGAAAACAATACTTGGGGAGAGCCACTCAAATCCTTCAAGAGTCCCCACATGCGGTCACCGCTCACCTGCACAACACACACATTTTCAAAAGTGAATTATTCTCTGTAAAAAGTGTGATCACTCTTGCATATATAAAATATCAAAAGCTAATTATCACTATTGCATATACAGTAATACCCCAGGGAGATTTTTTATTATAATAAAAATAATGGCAATTACCAGTCTTAGAATCTGTAAATTATCACTAGGTATATGTTTACACTGTACTTAAATATCCTTTGTCTTACTTCATTTCTTGTACATTCCAGCCCAGTAACTGGTCTCTTGGGATGTTCCTTTATAGGCTTTGATACACTTCCTTTTATATCCAACCAATCTTTAGTATATCCTACATGTCCAAAAGGTACCTGCAAGATGTTTTCTAATTAAGATTTATTTTGATATTATAAGAAAATTTGTAGAATATTGAGTATTTTCCAAGAAGAAATACCATCCAATAAACCCATTTTCCAGTGTATCTACATAAAGTAGTGCCATACCGTACTTTTAATACAATTTAACAAATAGGAAGTCTATTCGAGACACATCAAAGATACGATCAGAGGAACTGTAAATGATGCGCTGTGCAAATACAGTAGGTCAAATATTATTTTTTGATAGAGAGTAGGGAGGATTACAGTCCCCAAACCTGCAAGTGTAAACGTGTATGTATGAAATTAGTAATTTATCATGTCTGCTGGTGAAAAGAAAAGCTTGGAACAAAATGAAAGAGGAGAAATCACTGTAGAATTGCAGAAACCTTAACCTAATCTAAAACTCTTTATACAATCTCTTATCTTAATATGGTTTTACACCTAAATGAAGTTAAACAATCTACTGCAATATTCTCATCACATCACATCTATAAAATCTAAATGTTTTCATGAATCATGAATCATAGATTAATGATTCATAAAACACAGGCATATTTCCATCTACAAATACTACAGGAACTAACCCCAGTTTGCCCCATTCCCCACGGACCAGGGTTCATCCCCAGCATGAGCACTTTCTTTCGCCAGTTGCCGTACTTTATGACAAAATCTGAGTGCAATTCATGAGCATAGTCCACAGGGTTATAAATGTAACAAATCTTTTCCCCATAGTCTAATTTCAAGAGGTCTTCACACTGATTTTTCTCAATCTCCAGCAACTGCTGGGCAATTGAAATATTATCAACATGGCTCTCTGCAGTAGAGTTTTGACTCTTAGTGTCCATATTAGCTATGTGGCTGACTTTATCTCCACCAGTTGACTGTAACTGATTTCCTTCAGCTGTTGTTTCATTATTAGTTTTGAGTTTCTTACTTTTGGGATGCATTCAGCTGGTTTGAGTCTTCCTAAAAAAGAAGTACAAAACTATATTTAAAAAATTGTATAGATTAAAATCATTATTCATGCAATATCTGAAAATTATTAATATTGATCTTATACTGTAAAAATGTGGAAGTTGAAGAAACTAATAACATCGAGGGGGGTTTATCTTCCTGCATATGAAAATTTCCATATCATACTAATTTATATAAACAGGTGTCACTAGCATACTAATGGTACTCAACATTCTGCACCATATTAGCCAGGCATGTCATGATAATACAGTATTCTAAGTGGAACTTCGATGGAAAAGATAATATGGGATTGGACCCGTTTCAGGCCACTGATAATTCCATTCCATCAAGATTTTGCAGTTATTTGTTATTTGTTGCTAATATTTTTTTCTTTTCTTACCACAAATAAAAACAAAAGTTGACTGACAGTTGAGAAGCAGGACCAAAGAGCTGAAGCTCAGTATAAGTAGGTGAGTACATCTTTGCATATATTTATACAACCAAAAAATATTTCAGCTAAACAATGCACTTCAAAATTATGTTAAATAAAAAGGAGAAAGAAAATGTAAATAAAAAATTTTTCCTAACTTTCCAAACGAGCATGTACTGTATATCCTCCTTACCCTTTTTGAACAATTTTGTGGAACCCATATAATAAATGTACAGTAGTACAGAATCTAAATTGAGGAGAGGGAATTATTAGGAGAAAGTGCCAAGCCATTACGACTACATAGCACTTAAAAGGGGTCAAGATAATGATTTGGAATGGAACGGGGGAGAAGGAATTATGGTGCCCAACTATTGTACTGTACTTGGATTGTCAGGGATTGACCGTCGACCTGCATGAAATGAGACCGTCGCTCTTCCGTCCAACCCATTCAACTTTTTAACCAATTCCCTTCAGTTTGGCACTGAACTTTTTTTCTTTTAGTTTAGTTCATGTAATATACACCCCCATACTCATCATGTGAACGGTAGTGGAAAAGGTTACAGGGGCACATAATTTCTTCAGCCACATTATTGTGAATCGTCGTCTGCATAAGTACATAATGAGTTCAGAACTGAACTCTGAAATTCATTTACCTAAGCAAGCTAATGAGCTTGCACTGATGAGCCACAGTACAGTAGTTACATATTGTAGTTGTTAACTTATAAATACTGTACAGTAATCCAATACAGTACTGTAGTCTTTTCACAATTGAGCCAGCCACATAGAATTGTAATTTGGCTCTCATACACCCCCTACCTACAGTTTGCAAACCTGGAATAATTTGCTATAATTTCTGGTAGTAGATAATTTTAAATTAAATATTTACACTCCTTGAACATTTGTGATACAGTAATTTCAAAATCTGTAAATATTTTCACATTTTCTCACATAATGATGCAAGGGTAGAAATAATTTTGTAGACAAAATTTACATTTGTTAAGGTTTACATTGGCAGGTAATGCAGACTTCCAGATATACTGTAGTTATAACCGAGCCTGAGCCGAGTAATAGTAACATCTAGGACTCTGCTGCTTTTAGTGGATGACCAATATGTGGCTCTTCTTCTATGGAAGTACTGCTAGATCCCAGCTTGTCCTCGCAAATTATCACATCACAAAAATTATGTACTAAATTGCCTGAACTTAACCTAACCTAACCAACGACCCACATGTAGAAAATGAACGTTTCTGAGCTATGATTTATAGTACAGTACAGTGGAACCTAGGTTAGCAACGTCCCTCTTTATGAATTTTTCGGGTTATGAGCTCAATTTCTTCGTAAAATTTGAATCGGTTTATGATATTTGCCTTGCTTTGCGAATTTGTTGATACACATATGTGTCGACTGAGCACATGGTTCCTGGTGGCATGGGTGACTGCGCTTCAGTTTACCAGTGCCTCCCACCTAGTGACAATGATGCTTGAATTCTTTGTAAAGGATTTCATTGTTTTCAGCTTTTTTGGTTTCTAAACATAAAAGTAATTATTATATACCACACCATGGGTCCCAAGAAATTCAGTGGTAAGGTTCAACCTAAGAAAATAGTTGTGAGTAGAGGCAATAGAGGATGTCCCTTCCTCATTAAGAAAATGTGTGAAGTATAGAAAGAACTGCAAAGTTTTGTTGAAAAAACTCACCCAGATAAAGCTGTAGCAGACTGTTGCATTGACCTTTTTAATGACAATGTGATGTCTCACTACAGACATGTGTTAAAATGTAGGGAACAAACAAGTGTTTTAGACATATTCTTAGTAAGACAAGCAAGCAGTGAGCCACAACCAGGTCCTAGTCGTATGCCTGGAAAACATAGAAGAGAGAGCACCCCAAAGAAGTCATCACTGCCTGACGTTATAATGGAAGGGGACTTCCCTTCCATACACTAACATCTCTCCTCCTCCTCCTCCTCCCCCCTTCCTCACTATCTATCTTCCAAATGCCAAAAAGTGTCATCAATAAAGGTAAGCACACTTGTACATATTATAGTACAAAACATTTGTGTGTATTATGTATGAAATGTATTTTGAAGTTAATATTTTTGGGAGTGTGGAACAGATTAATTCAATTTACATTATTTCTTAGGGGAAAATTCCTTTCGGTTTGTGAATTTTTGATTTACAAGGCGTATCCAGGAACAGATTAAATTTGAAAACCAAGGTATCACTGTACGTTATATTTTGCCCATTGGGAAATTTGACATCAAAATGCGATGAATTATTCAGGAGGATAGTTTGGGACCCTGGCATCACTCGGTCAAGCCAGCGACAGTCCCCTCCCCTCTCTTTGCCCTAAGAGAACCAAAGGGCAAAAATCGACCATCTGGCATAGCAGAAGTCTGACAATCACTCGGCATCAAGGAGAAATACCTGTACAGTACTATACTGTATACAAGTAGCATCGTACCAAAGATGGTCAGCCAACAAATTTTTAAAAAGTAGCTAATCTTACCCAACCTCTAATGAGCCTAAAGTAACACAGTTTAACATAAGATATCATGACCTAATGATGTAGAGGGTATATGGTTTGACAAATAAAAAACAAGCTTCGTTGAGATGCTTGATCTCAGTGAAACTTAAAATACTGAACAATTTGGAAAATATTGATCCAGACCACTTCTTTTAAAGGTCAGATATAACACAAACAAGGAACAACAGCTTTAAGCTCAACAAGCCACAAAGTAGCACAGAGAGCAGGAGATGCTTTTTCAGCCACAGGGTTATAAGCCCATAGCTTCTCTCTATGACTGGCCGAGTCATGTTGATGGCCAGACAAAACTTACTGGGTTTAAGGTCCATCAACCACGGCAGGGTTACTCGCCCACCACAGGAGCGGGGTCTAAGATCTTCCCAAAGATTACATCCCTTACGTCATCACTAGTCTATAAACACCCTTTAACGAACCAAAATTACCCTAACCTAAACTAGCTTAATCTATCCTAACATAACCGAACTTAGCATAGCCTACCAAAAAAGATAATACATGAAATTTGGCCCCTTGTAAATAGTGCAGGCTAGGTGAGTGACGTCACTGTGACGTCAAAGAATGCACTCTGGGGCAGGTTTTGGACTGTAGTTCGAGTGTTGGTAAACAAACCCCCCAGGCGTCCAGGACCATCCCCGCAGACACGGGCTCACCAAAGTGAGTTTAGTTCATTTATTATCCACCCCATACCCATCTTGTGGGCGGTAGTGGAAAGGGTTACAGAGGCACATAATTGGCTCAGGAACTGAACCCCACAATTCATTTAGCTAAGCAAGTTACAATCTTGATGAGCTAGTTACAAAATTTAATATAAGTCGTCACAACAATGGGTTCGAGATCGACCTCATATCCCGTGCTACTTGGAATTTTTTGTTCCGAGTAGCTGAATCTAAAACAACAACAATGGAGACCATTTTCTCCATGGGTCACGGGATTGTTAATAGATTTTTTACGTGTTCTGGCTGGTTCTCCCAGAGGAGTGACAGTGTCCGGCACCGGCTTGGCCAAGAGGTGCCGGGAGTTGGTGGGTCTTGGTGGGCTCCCGTAGTGCCCTCAGTCGTGGTGGGCGGCCGGCTTCTGCTCTGCCGGAGGACACTAGATGACTTTTACGTTTTAGTTGGGGGTCGAGTTTTTGGTTTTGCTACCCGGTGTTCTCTGTGTGGGGCGGGGCCGGTGCTTGTCACCATGAGGCTCCCCAATTATCTGCCTGTCTGCATTTCTTTGCCGCGAGGAATATTAGTTTCCAGTGATTGGCGTCACTCGTTTCGCGATTTGGCTTGGCGATTGACCTTTCTGGGCTTCACGATTAACCCTTAATGGGTATGCCGGGGCGCATTCGATCCCATGATCGTCGTCGCTCCTAAATCAACAACAACAACAACATTTTCTCCATGAGACTGAATGGCAGGTCTGATATAGGCCTTAAAGCCCAAAACAAACTTGGTAAGTTTCATCTATTAAAGGTCATACCGAGTCCTTTGATTTGGTTGTTGTTGCTGGTTTAGGGGCTGCAACGGCAAAGGTGCCCTATGTCGTAACATTCTGGACCGTTGAATAGGAATGCCACAAGACAATATCAAAACCATATGGATAATAACATGTAATGAAACGTAAGTCAGTGGTCCCCGAGTGGAGCTGGTGTCTAGACGTCCGCTCATCGTCAAGGTTGAACCAGGAGTTCCTTGTTGTTGTTGTTTTAGATTCAGTTACCCAGAAGAAAATTTCCATGTAGCACGTATAGAAATTTCCATGTATGGTGAGCCCTTAAAGGAGTCCCTTTGTTTTGGCTTCTTATGTAGGCATAGAACAACTTAGGAGCTTTATGTTTTGGGCAAGTTTTCATTTGTAGTTTTTTTGGGCTGATTTGATTTCTGGAGGAAGAGGAGGAGTTGAATTTAATGCTCTTTTATATATATATCTCTTAATCCATGATTTTCATCGTGGATTTATACCTTCACCAGAGGTTTCACTTAGTTATTACAGCTCTTTTTACTACGTACCTGCATCATCCATCTAGTTCCCTTTTCTTTCTCCTTTTTGTCAATAAGACATTTTGTATGGAGTAAATGATTTCAGCCATAGTTTAGGATATTAATCGATATTTTAATATTACTTTAAAAAAAAATTATATAAAAGTTCTTAATTTATCATAATTCTTAGTTCTAATGTTTGTGAAAAAAATCCCAGTGTAATTGCAGATTTTTATTACAGGAAAGGAGAATGGATGGATTTGCAAATAAAAAGTTCAGGTAAGACACCATACTCACGAAATGGAGATGGTCGAGTAGTCATACAATCATCTGTGAGGGAAGTTTTAGCTGCTGAAGCTGGGACTGCACCAGGTAATAAAAAGTAGTTTTTACTTGTAGCAGAAAGTTTATTATCTCTATTACTTATCAATTTCAAAGTTGTACAGCATTTATACAAAGAGGTGACACTTAAGCAATGAAGTCACAAGAACATTTTGAGTATAAATAAATCTCAGCAGTCTCCGTGGCGTAGTGGTAAGACGCTCGCCTGGCATCCTGCGAGCGCTTTGTCCTGGGTTCGTATCCTGGCCGGGGAGGATTTACTGGGCGCAAATCCTTAACTGTAGCCTCTGTTTAACTCAACAGTAAAATGCGTACTTGGTTGTAAAAACAATTCTTCGCAGGGGTCGTATTCCAGGGAATTAGGATTAAGGACTTGCCCGAAACGCTACGCATACAAGTGGCTGTACAAGAATGTAAGAATTCTTGTATATACTGTATAAATAAACAAAAAATAATTGAGGCCATATAATATACAGTACATGTATTTATTTAAATAATTCAGCTATAGAGTAAATGTGTGGTGATTGATATACTGTTCAGTTTAATGATAATTTGTCTTGTCTGGAAAAGAAGCTTTAACTTTAGGCTTGTATTAAGGTCCCCGCTAGGTCAAACAACTGACCCTCGCCAGGAATTAGCCCCACAACAGTTGCTTAACTCAGGGTTCCTATTTATTGCTAGATGAACAGAAGTATTAGGTGAAAGGAAATGTGCTGAACTATTTCTGTCCTGCCTGAGAATTGAGCCTGAAATCCCTGATTGCGAGTCAAGAATGAAGCCAGCTGTACTTTGAAACTGTATTTGCAGTAAGCTAGACATCTAATATAACAACAAAATTGAAGCGCTTTCATTGTTCATACATGTTAAATGGGTTATTGGAGAAAGTGCTCCTGGCACACACAGATGATAGTTATTTAGTTAATGCTAAATAATTTAGGAGTTTTATATGTAGTGGTGGAGAGATGGAAAATGTAAATGCTAGTATCCCCTGTACTATACTGTGTATTCATGCTAGAATGAAATGCATTCCCACAGTATAGAAGTAGCCACAGAACCTATGTATGACTTAGAAATATGAATTGACTTAGGTTTCACTGGACATATTTGTAGTAACAAATGTCTATGAAATTACACTAGAATGCAGTGAAAGTGCTTTTTATGCCACTATATGAGTAAATGTTATTTACAAAATAATTCTGAATAATTTAACAATTTAACAACGGCTTCTTATTTAAGAATAAAAGTACCAGATAATAACAATTCTTGATGGATATAACTAAATTCAATATATCAAAACCAAACTTTTTTTTCGAAGAAACTGGGACTTTTAAAGTTTTAAGCAAGAGGATGAGGAGCTTATTGATATGTTATTAAATGTAATGAAAGTCAATGAAGCACATTTTACAATGATCTGGGAACTAGGACATATAACCTTGAGATAGAAACAAAGATACATAACAAATTTTGGTCTTTGAGTAAAATTGTAATGGATGAAAGTTTCCACAAGGCAAGGTTTCAAGATGAGGAGCCAAACGATGCTATTTGCCAAATGATCATGGCTGCAACCATTCCAAAATATATTTTATGAAACTGGATTGCTCAGGAAGAATGAATGAACTTTTAATAGAAAAAGTTCAAGAATGAGACGTTCATGACTTGTATCAAGTTTTCAAGTTGCAAAGAAATCCTTCTCAAACACAAGATGCAGAAAAGAAAGCCTATGCTGATGCCCCTCTTGATTGGTCTCAAAGATTGAGTGAGCTGTTCCAGTTAGTAAATGGTAAGAGTGAGCTGTTCCAGTTTATTTATTTATTTATTTATTTATATACAAGAATGTACATTGAGGTTAAGAGAGTACATAGTAATGATGATTTTACATTCTTGTAAAACCACTAGCACGCATAGCATTTTGGGCAAAGTTTGGGCATAGCCTTCTGGGCAAGTTAGTAAATGGTAAGAGTTCCATTGTTCTGTTTCATTGTTCTTACCATCTACTAACTGTTCCAGTTAGTAGATGGTAAGTGCAAGCTGTTCCAGTTAGTAGATGGTAAGTGCAAGCTGTTCCAGTTAGTAGATGGTAAGTGCAAGCTGTTCCAGTTAGTAGATGGTAAGAGCAAGCTGTTCCAGTTAGTAGATGGTAAGTGCAAGCTGTTTCAGTTAGTAGATGGTAAGAGCAAGCTGTTCCAGTTAGTAGATGGTAAGAGCAAGCTGTTCCAGTTAGTAGATGGTAAGAGCAAGCTGTTCCAGTTAGTAGATGGTAAGTGCAAGCTGTTCCAGTTAGTAGATGGTAAGAGCAAGCTGTTCCAGTTAGTAGATGGTAAGTGCAAGCTGTTCCAGTTAGTAGATGGTAAGAGCAAGCTGTTCCAGTTAGTAGATGGTAAGAGCAAGCTGTTCCAGTTAGTAGATGGTAAGAGCAAGCTGTTCCAGTTAGTAGATGGTAAGAGCAAGCTGTTTCAGTTAGTAAAGGAGGAATGTGAGCTGTTTCAGTTAGCAAAGGCTGAGAGTGAGCTATTCCAGTTAGTAAATATGTTGAACTTCAGGGTTACTGGAAGTTTTCTGTACAGTACAGTAGTGTAATTATTGTTGTGAGATTACCTGTTTCTAGTATACATATAGTACATATAATTCCCATTGTTGGGGACAGGAACCTATACTCTACAGAATGTGAGGTACCAATTCACTGCTAGGTGATCAGAAACATCAGGAGAAAGAAAACATTATCAGCCATTTCTCTCTCATGTCTGGGAATTGAACCTAGGGTCCTCAATTTTTAGCTACAGTGATAAGAGCAGTCGGGTTACATCTAAAAGGGCCTGTGTTCGATTCCCATGGCAGGACAGTAGCATTTGGACACTGTTTCTTTTTACCAGATGCATCTGTTCACCTAGCAGTAAATAAGTATTCAGGCGTTAGTTGTGGGCTGCTAGTACCTAAGGCTAGTACTTTAGTTGGTTTGGAGTAGGGACCTTGATAAGCCTAGCAGCCTTCCTGTCCCTCGACTAAGGTAAACTATATACTCAACCATAGCAAAGGGAGGAGTGAAACCATCTTTGTAAATAAAATGTCAAAAATATTTGTAACTTTTATTTAAAAAAATAACAATCGGGATATATGAAATGAGTTCTACATTTGTTACCATAATTTAAAGGCATATTTTATGCCTTTTAAATTAATAACCATGAATATTAAGTAGCTGCATTGCTATACAAAATAGACTTGCAAGTCTCGTATAACAATTGTTTAGTTCGCTATAATTGGTTCTCACTAAGTTTCCTTCAGAATTAGATGGCAAAATGTGTCATATGTGCATTGGTAGTAATGTTGTTATATACACTGTACATAATTATGGTTAGAAAATGACAAAATATGGTATGTATATTTGTTAGGATTGGTTTCCCTCCAGAGTTGTACATAATTGTCTAAATGTGTAAAAAAGGTAGAGTATATATCAACATTTTATCATGAATAAATTTACAGTATAGATCAGACATAGATTATTTTCTGTATTGTCATGTACTGTAGTTATTTTCATGTAGATGTTTTCTCTGCATTACTATTGAGACCTAAAGGTGATCCACAAACTAATGAAGTTGTTACATAGTTCAGACACGTAGTATACACTCTCCTTTGAATCTGTTCCCCATGAAACAATTGGCTTATAAATACTTTGTCCCTACACACTGACTGGGCAAACTTGGTGGGGTGGGGACCTAGTCCATAAAATGCAATACTGTACTTGGGACTGTAATATAGACTGCGCTGCTGTTTTACAGCAGCAGATTGATGCCAACCATTTCCAGGAATGACAGTACATTACACACAGTACTGTATTCTATATACTGTACTATAACACTCTAAGACAGAGTCAGCATAATAAGTTTTTTGGTTCAAGGCCAAGTGCCACATCTTATTTAGTGATTCAGCACTTAAATTTAAAGACCTTATTTCTACCACCCTTGGTGGCTTCCTGACGCCATTTCTCTTGAGATGGCTCACCACTGCTGGGTCACATCAGTAACATGAGTCCTGTTTGGCCCACTGGAGACCAAAGCCAGAACCTAAGGATGAGGGAGAGCCAAGTTCTGGCTCTTGTTTCCAGTAAGCCAAATAGAACTACAGTGATTGATGTGACTCAGTAGTGGGGAGCTATCTCAGTGAGATAGCTTCACAGAGCCTTCCTACCAGAAAGAGGCATTTCATTACATTCTATGCTGGTTTTTATATTATTGACCTAGAATTGTGACCATGTAATATTAAACTAAAAGGAAAAAAACTGTTGATGATAGACGTTTCAATACTTGGAAACGAGTAGACTCATTATCCTACCAAGTGAATTGCTAGAACCTATTGGTAACTTATTGTCCACCTAATCATAGGTACTTTCTCTCTCATTGCCTTCATGTTGTATATATAATACACAACTTTAGCATAAGCATTAAATCATTGGGCAAACAGTCAACTTTATTGTGAGCTTTTACTCATTGTTTCATGTTGTGTACGATACCAGTACTGTATACAACTTTAGCCTGAGTATTCAGTCATCGGGTAAACAGTTTACCTTATTGTAAGTTTTTTCAATCGTTGCCTTTGTGTTGTCTATATGATCCACAACCTTAGCCTGATCATTCAGTCATTGGGCAAGTACAATTATGTCCATGTTAAACTATCTTTGGTAAGATTTGCAGAAAATAAAATGTAGCTCATTACATAATGGCTTTTCCAGGTCATTAAAATTCAGATATATGAAGAAAAAGAGCTATCACAATATAAGTTTGATTTTTCTGTTTCCAAATTTTGCTTATTCAATTATTAATAAAGTATTTTCACACCTTATAAATAAACCAAACAAAATACAGAATCGAGGAAATTTTTTAAATTGAGACGAAGCATATTTTTTTATACTGTATCACTTTAGAGGTTCAGTTGAGCTGTATGTAGGTAGATATATCTCTGATTTCAGCTTTCTGATCGAATGTTCATCCATGTTAGCCAAAGCGGCGTCGTAGCTAGGTGGATCCAAGAGATTAGAGAGAGATACAGTGTGACGTGTAGTACCAATGGTGGTAAGAGTTGGAGAAAACATGTCCTCAGGACATGTTGGATTATGGTTGTCCATATTTAGAGAGGTGTGGGACATGGTTTGCAGGGAAGAGAGCTGTGTTGCGTTGATGAGAATGGGTTGAGTGTAGAGAGCGATACGGTCTTGCGGGGTAGTTTCATTGGCCTGAGTTCCATTGTTAACAAGTGTTAGTTCTGTTAGTTCATTATTTGATGCACTGAAATGAATAATAAATGCAATTATAATAAAAAATGTTACCTGAATGTGCAACATTTTTTTTTTTCTGATAATAAGTAAAAATATGAGTAAAGATATAGCAAAAGAGCTAATGTAAGTACCGCATACTATATACACTTACTGGGATCGGTAGCGGCGTAGGAAGGACCTTCTCCAAGAGATTCTGTATGATGGAGGACGGTCCAGATTGTTGCTTTGAGGGGGATCCTTGTTTTTCTGCCGAGTACACTTGCCCACTGCAGCACACACAGCCACCACAGTTAAGAATCCTGAAAAAAAGATTGCCAGATTTATAGCCATTTCTAAATTTGGATTATTTCTAATACAAAATTATACCTGGAAAACAAGAAATTAGCAAAGAGATTTAATATTTAGGTGCACCACATACTGTATTAAGTCTAAGATTGTTTCTGACTTGGTTTTCAAAACCTTTACTAGTGGGTCTGCTATAAACTTCAGATACTCTACCAGTAAATCATCAACCTTATTAAATTTCTGACCAAGTCATTACACCAAATTTGGTTTGTCAAACCCACACTGGTTTTATAAGCTTTAATAACTGCGTAGATACTTTGCCTGTATGCATTTCCTCCCAGCTATACGTTATTGAAATTTTGAACTTATCAGTACGAGAGTAGAGAATTACATATCGGCTGATCTATGGTATCATGTGGCTATCAGCTTATCATTTCTAGGTACTGAACGAGCATTACAAAATTGTTCAACGTATACACAGTCCTGGAAAATTCTGTAAATGTATAAATAAGGCACCACAAACTGCTGAAGTTAAATTTGAACTGCTTTTATCACAAAATAACTTGACTAATATGTACCGTAGTCTATATGTGTAATTAATGAGTTTTACACATGTTTTTAATCTTGCTGGTAAGCACATTGGTATTAATGTTAAATATATACTCCCCCCCCCCTGTAATTGTTCTATATATTTATTTCATCCCCTAGTTTGCTACCACATCCTACAACCTGTAAACTTCACCAGCACTAGGCTGAAAGCATTAAAACAACGAGTGAAGTCATGAGGATGTTTCTTGACGCTCACTTATGCACAAGAATCAAAATTCAGGAAGAATTTAAACTTTCTGCCTTATACAAAGGGATTTTACAGCTAACCAAGTGTTAAGATCGTAAAGATTCACGACTTGAAAACTGTAACTTCAAGAACATAAGGTCACAGACTCAAGCTAAGGAAACAAAGCTGCCAAAATACATTAGAAAGTTATATTTTTGTGGTTGGAACAAGTTGGGTGAGGTGGTGGTAGATGCCAGAAATGTCAGTAGTTTCGGTGTTACAGTATATGACAAAGTACTGAGAAGACAGGATACTGCTTGTGTAGCTCTCACTTAGGTATGCAGGCGATGAGTCACAATAACGTGGCTAAAGTAAGTACAGTAAGTAATTATCAAAAGAAGGCACCAAACCGGGAAGGCTATGTAGCACCATCAAATACGCAAAATAATCAGAGGGCGCTAAATATCACCAAGGATGCCAATACGAGAACAAAAACGCATAAGGCGAACGATATCAAAAGTATCCGAGTCACCAAGAATTCTATCGAGGGACAGGTGACCGCGAGGGGCGGTCGGAAAGCAAGACACACGCTCGTCCTGGAAGTCAGGACATTCAAGAAGGACATGCACGACCGTAAGAGGGACAATGCAACTAGGACAATAAGGAGCAGGGCGGCGCTCCATCAAGTGACCATGGGTTAAGCGAGTATGGCCAATACGCAACCTCGCCAGAGCTGTTTCCCACCGCCGGTTACGGTGGAAGGAGGACGGCCACGAGGAAACACAACATTTAAGAGTACGTAGCTTGTTACCAGTAACATAACGTGGCTAAAGTATGATGACCAGACCACACACTAGAATGTGAAGGGACGACGACGTTTCGGTCCGTCCTGGACCATTCTCAAGTCGACTTGAGAATGGTCCAGGAGGGACCGAAACGTCGTCGTCCCTTCACATTCTAGTGTGTGGTCTGGTCATCTCATTTAGGTAATTACAGTACCAGCACTGCTGAGAAACAAACTGTCGTGTGCTGTTGGAGAGCCAGTATGTGCTACCAGCAGGCAGTCTATAAACAAAATGAGTGAGCTCACACCCCTCACCAAACTGAATGTGCTTCAGTGTACATTCAGTGAAGGTGTGCAGTGTACTAGCTAATGAAATTCAGCTTCATTTTTTCCATGGAATACAAGTGTCCTATATATCCATTATAAAATAAAAGTAATAAAAACCAAGTGCTACTCAATGCAGCAATATTTGACACTTGATTCTTCTAAATAGGATGGAAATCTCACAGAATGGAATGAGAAAGCCTTCATAATTGGTGCTATTATTTACTCTAGCCATTGTTAGGTTAGGTTACGGTTACTGTATTTAAAGTTTAGTTAGGTTAGGCTTCGTTACATTAATATGGTGCAATATTGCCCAAAATCTGAAATATGGAATTCAAAACTATTAAACTGCACTCTTGAATTTTGTTTACAGAAAACCAAATTCTAAGAGCTGCTTAAAAGAAAACATTTTTCAGCATACACTTTTATATTTTAAATCTGATTTATAATACAATAAAGTTAAACTTGAGAATACTCTATGTTCAGGACAAAGATACTCTTGCCAGTTTACAAGTAGACTATTACTGGAACCATAATGTTTTCAGACCCTGACAAATATCTAGATAACTATCCAGGTGGTTTGACAGCAATGTGGTGCTCAAGGTAATGAATTTGCTCCGAGGATGGGCTCCTACAGGCACGTGAGCACTAGGCTTCCACTGACAGCTATCAATAGGTTGCACTGTAGCAGTTTTTTAAGTTTTTCTACATAAATAATAATTGTAGGCCTACATACGCTATCATTGTGTTGGACTAAACATTTGGCTAAATGCAACAGAATTGACTGCACCATAAATAGCCAATGATACATTAAAAATTCATGCAGAGTAATTATCTGTTACTTAACGTTAGATCTTCAAGCACTTGTAAATCTAACTAGAAAAACAGATATCATAATTATCATATCAATTATACATACTTGATGCACAGTGCAAGATTTAGCATCTACTTTGTTAGCGTACAGTGTAATACCAAACAGTTTCATTTCAGATATAGGCAAATTTTATATAGAGAGTTTAAGTATTGTTAGATCTAGGAAAGGTTAGGTAAAGCGTTTTGGATACATTGATTTAGGGAGTATTTGCATTATAGACTGGAAGTGAGTGAAGCATGTCTTGATCGGCAACTAACAATGAAGATTTACAACCCTCCCAGGCACAGGTGTTACAAGTGCCACCATTTTCATAATGATGTTGAAAGGAACGGTCAGCGGTGTAGGACCTGTGGCACACCGATCCAGAACCAACGTGGCGCTCCATACCAACATGCCAGAAAGCCTGCAACGTCTGTGTGTGATGCTAAAAAGGGTGGTGCACTAAAACTGAGGTGTGCAAACTGTCACGTGGAGGGAGTTCCCACCTGGCATGAGGACTGTACCTCACTCCCGCCGAGACGGGCTGCCCGGGGTACACCAGCTGGGGGCGCCAGTAACCACCCTGGCTCATCTGCTCTGCCCCCACCGGACACTCCGTCACACTCTCCTGCCTTACCCAACCACTCCAACGCCACGGCTAGTAGTAGCTCGAGTGACACAGTTGTAGTCCCTACCAATTCATGTTGGTCGGGGGGCCCGGATCAGGCACAGAAAATTAGTGAGCTTATGAATACAGTAGAAAAACAGAGCAAAACTGAGGAAAAGCTGACAAGCAGATAACCGAACAAAATAAGGAAATCATGCCCCAAAAGACGATGATAACCACTCTTCAGGACACTGAGAATATTAACTGAGTGCAGGCTACACCAACCTGGGGTACCACCATGTGCTCCCATGCGGCCAGTACCCCAGGGGAGACTTCAGCAGGGGGTGTCCCAGCCCTCACACCAGCTGGGCTCCCCCACCACGGCTCCCCACACCCCAGCCTCATCAACGCCGTGTGCTATGAACAGAGGTAAACTATTCCACGTAGAAACGCATAGTGCTGTCGATGAGCAGGTAAAACCCCGCAGAATTTGCCTAGTTATCAGTGTTATAATCCCAGATCAAAAAATACGTGTCTCATGTATGTTAAAAAATCCCTGCCACATGAGCCACTTCCCGCTCAACAACGAGAGGAGTTTCAATATCATGGTATCCGGGTACACGTTGGTAACTCTACACTTAATGTTTTGAATGCTTATGCACCTACTGGCCTCCTCCAGTATACTGACCTACCTAGTTTTGCACATACTGATTGTACAATATTAATTGGGGATTTAAATGCTAAACACAAACAATTAGGGGATCAACTCACAAACACCAACGGGAGAAGATTGTTGGCACTTCTCGATGCATATGGTGATGTTCAAATTATCAGTAAGAATCAACCAACGCAAATATATGAAGGTATTCTAGATAGGTGCATTGGCTTTAACCTGTCATACACAACTCATGAGACTGATATTATGGATGACTTAATGTCTGACCATTTAGCCATAACAGCTAACATACACGTGGCTAATGTTGACCTACCTGGCACTAAGCTGAGTAGACGCAGGCTAACAGTAAGGAAAGAGCAAGAAAAATTCTTTACAGACAGCATAGAACATTGGTATAACAATTATGAGCCGGAGAATGTACAACAGTTTTATGATGACCTCGTAAATAAAACCTATGAGGCCATCAAAAATAGTGAGTCACACCAAACAAAAAGAAGTACTGGTAAGCAGGTCAGACACAACCAGTACTATGATGATGCTAAACTGAAAGAGCTTAAATCAATTGCTAGACAGACAGGTAAAGCATATAAGAGCCTTAGAACTCTTTTAAATGTTATAACTTTCAGGCCGCGCTTGCAGCGGCAAGGGAGAGAATGACTGAACTGAGACAAAATGAATGGGAGGGTTTTGTTAGTGGACTTAACCTGCATACTCCCCTGGGCAAAGCCTGGAAGGGCATAAACAAAATTATTGGTAAAAGTAGTAGACAAGTTTCACAACCAAACCCGCTACAGAAAGCCAGTCAGTTAATTGCAAAATGGGCTCAGGTTTCCAGCCTTGGAATGCTACCAGCTAGCACTAGGGAGAAATTGCAGGCGAAGTCCACAGACAGAAATGCTCTCATAAATTTCATGTTGAGCAAGCAACATGATGAATGTGATGTTCCATATACAGATTATGAATTGGATGCAGCCCTCTCCAGGGGCAGAAGCACTGCTCCTGGTGAGGACGGTATCACCTATGATATTCTAAGACATCGTGTACCCGGTAACCCATTATTAGAATTGTTTAATGCCAGCTATGTCACTGGGCAGTTGCCTGTATCATGGACCACCAGTCTTACGGTACCTGTACCAAAGCTTGCCCAACCTGATGCTTTCCGTCCCATCTCACTGACCAGTTGCATGTGCAAAATCTTTGAGAGAATGGTGCTTAATAGATTATTGTATAGAGTTAAAGAGCACATGTCACCTGATATCAATGGTTTCACACATGGTAAAAGTGTACACAACTGTATCACAACCTTTTCTGTATCACAACCATGATGACTTTATCATGGAGATAAAAGGCACAAGTACACAACATTTCTTGATTTAAAAAATGCCTTAGATATTGCTAATAGGGAAGTGATTATGTATGAATTAGCGAGAATGGATATAGGGGGACATTTATTACAATGGATACGAGGCTATCTTACCAACAGGAAGTCCTCTGCACTGTTCCAAGGCTACAAGAGTGAAACTAAAGTAATGCAACTAGGCACCCCACAAGGAGGAGTACTTAGTCCTACCTTGTTTAATGTTCTAATTAATGCTTTACTAAAATCAATCCCATCTAGTCCGGCAAACATCACTATCAGCTATACAGATGACATCCTTGTGCATACTAAAACCCACCGCGAAATGCAAACAGTCTTAAATTGTATACATACAGCTTGTGAGAGCCTTGGTCTTGTAATCAACGCTGCTAAAACTAAGGTATTTAACAGACAAATTGGCAACCGCAAAAGTGGACCACGAAAACTTTAGATAACATACCAATAGACTATGTCTCTTCTTTCAAATACCTTGGTGTGTCTGTCCCTTGTACCTCAACTGCAGTCAATAAGTTACATCAACACTGTAGAGACAGACTCAAGGCTCTCAGAACTGTAGTGGGGTACAGCCCAAAATATGGTGTTAATATTAGAATAGCAAGATTGGTGTATTTAGCGTATATAAGGTCTCTGATAGACTATCATGTACCAGCTTTGGTCCTGCAAAATGGCAAAAGTATTGATAGACTGGAAAAAATGCAAAATGAAGCACTTAGAATTATACTTGGCTGTCCTATAACTACCAAAGTTCTCATCATGCGGAAATAATTAAATATACTTAGCATTCGAGATAGAATATTTGAAATTAATCTTATGACGGGACAAAAGCTGCTGCGTGATAACAAAAACAACATTGTGTCAGTTGCACTGTTAGAACACATACGAAATGGAACTAGCGAGTCTAAATGGATTCAAAGAACAGCCACTCATATTAAAATGATGGGACTGCACGATGTATATACAGATGAAAGAGTACAGCACTTCCTTCCACCCTGGCAGATAGTACCTTTTGACATCCTGACCACTGCATATCCCACCAAGAAACTAATCACAAACAACCCTCATGCTCAGCTTGCTGCTAAATTAAGCACCATAGAGCACATTCACAATATACAAGCTGAAAACAACATTGCACAGACCATATACACTGACGGATCACTCAATACAGCTACAGGGAGGGCAGGAAGTGCTGTTATTGCTCATCAGCCCGATGGCAGTACAATTCAAAGAAATATCCGAATTAGTAACTGGGCGTCCACAATGCAAGCCGAGTTGGTAGCGATACTGGTAGCACTCTAAATTATTGACAACACTGAAGTAGACAGCTTAATTATTTCTGACTCCCTATCCTCACTACGAGCAATAAACAGTTTGCATTCAAGTAATAACGTGCTTGTCTTGGAAGCTAGACGTAGATATATAAGAATACTTAACAAGAGGGTAAATATAAAAATGTTGTGGATTCCTTCTCACATTAGCATGCAGGAACATGACAAAGTTGACGCCCTTGCTAAGACTGCAGTAAATAAAGACAGTATTGAACGGAATCTTGAGTTATCAAATAGGTCCCTTAAAAGTGTCATTAGACGAGAACTCCTGGATGAATTTGAAGAAAGTAGAACAGTGCAAACTGGAACTAGCAGGTCCATTGTTCATCACAATGAAATGTGTGAAGTAAAACATGTGTATGGGGCAAGTAACAAAGTCAGTAGACTAACAGATGTTGTCACAGCTCGTATAAGACTTGGCTACAAGTATCTCTGGCAGTTCGGCTTGTATAGGGATCTAGATGAAGTAAAGTGTAAAGTGTGTGGACAAAGACAGGGACACACACTCGAACACTATATCTTGGATTGTAGTAAAATTGAGCCATTTAGAGATAAATCTAAGCTCACTCTGTATGATATGGCAACCTATCTTATTACCATGGATAAATTACCTGAAATCCTTGCACTGTACCCACATTTCGCTTCCAGTAGATGAACGACATATGAGATTCAGAAACAAGTAGTGTATTGTGAGGACTAATAATAAACAGAAGCTCCCCTATGACTGTAATATCCCCATTGGTCAAACTATTATGTATTAGCGATAAGACCTACCATTAATGTATGATGACTTACTGTAAATATGTAGGTCTTGTAATAGCACTTTCTCTAACTAGCTGACATTGTAACTATAAGGTGAAGGATAGATGAAATTGTTTATGTAATAATCTAAGATGAGGTCTGATAAAGACCTTTTGTGCACTCTGTAATGCTTTTGCGCTACCGCTCACAGGATGAGTATGGGGTGCACAATAAACTAGCCGCCTTCGGCGCCAACAATCAATCACGTCTTGAATCATGGCTTCGAAGTCACATTGACAAATTGTGGGATTGTTCCACCACAGGTTGCCCTTTTTTTTAACCACCGTATTACACGTTTTGATTAAATTTGAGATGCAGACCGAAACTTTGTTAGCGGTGTGACTAAAGTCGTTTCTGGGGCCTCTCCAGAATTAGAGGCCCTGAAGCTTCAGCTTCGTTAGTATGATTGTTGATCGGCTTACGGGCTCACCATAACCCGTGCTACATGGACACTTTGTCCTGAGTAGCTAAATCTCTAACAACAACAACAACGATTGTTGATCAGCCCCTGTTCATGTATCTCATCTTTCAGTTAATTCCATTTGCTCACTATTCTTTCCCTGATGAAGTGCTTCCTTACATCTGGGTTTTCAACTATATCTTATTTTCTTATCCATGGTCATACTAATTATTTAGTTTTGTCCACCTCGTCTGTGTTTTTAACAATCTTATATGCTGAATAATTCACTTCTATTACCCAGTGTGGTAAGGTTAGTTCATCGGCCAGACCTCGTAGCTCAGCCTAATAAGTTCAGAGAGACTTATCAGTTCTCCTAACTTAGCCCCCCCCCCCAAGTTCCGAGACACACTCGGAGTTCATCCCTCTGAACACTGAACTAGGTTAAGACACTCACCGCCAATGAACACCAGTACCAGACCAACGGAGCCGATGCTTCGGACGACGAAAGACAAGCCAATTAGGGCGACGGCTCCGGACACCACAATTGTACTCCAGATGGCGCACCACTGAAACACAAGGTCAGTATACAGTCACACACAGGTACACAAAAGTGACGCAAAGATAGATAATAGTGACTCGGCGTAACAAGTGCAGTGACGCAAAGGTAGATAATATATAGTGATTCAGCGCTACAAGTGCAGTGACGCAGATAATAGTGACCCAGTGCTACAAGTGCTGACGCAACGACACGGTATAGTGATGCAATTATACACAACAGTGACGCAAATATACAATGTTGATGTAACACTAGTGACGCAACGCTCAGTACGGTGATAAAGTAGAGTAATAATGGAAATCTAAACTATCAACAGGTGCTTTGGTGAATATAGAATACAAATTAAGCCACCATGAACTCACTAAATGTGTGTCTTAATGAGAATCTTATCTACGAGGTCTTTATTATATATACGACAGTAAGTCTGCTCTCAGGAGCCTATGAGGTGAGTACTTTTTGTTGACATCTGCGGTGCAAGTTGGCCAGGGTGTACCATGATCAGCTTGTTAACGACAGCTGGAACCCATGAGTTCAGCAGTCACCATCAATGCTACGAGTGTGTAGAGCAGACGCAGCATATACCAGGCCGGGGTATACTGTGTACAAGAACATATACCAGGCCTTGCGTGCGTGCACAAGGTATCTATCTCTTACCTTAATGCCTATCGACTGATAGGAACATTAAGGTCGCAATATTCCTTAAAATCTAAATACCAAACAGAATTCAAGAATAGTTAAGTTGCAGTGTGTATACTGAGACGCAAGATGTTTCACTCAGTGTATATACCATTCCCAGCAGTGTTGAAGTTTTAAACAAATGAATTCCAGAAAGGCTTTACTTAATCCGTACTTACGTCTTTGTTGTTGACGGCTGCCGAGCTTGGTTCAGTGACCATGATCCTTATCCTCCCTAGTCCTGGAGGTATCCTTCACCTGGTGTCGTAGCGTCACCCTGTGAAGCACCAGGGGGTCCTGGGGGGTGTCCTGCGACTAGCTAGAGCACTGTGTGTGTGTCCTGATGGTTCAGTCCTAACGTCAGACTGAATTCTACTGATTGGTATCTTCCCTCTGAAATGATTTCGTGCATTTCGTATCTAATCACTGTAGCAGCAAGATTAGTCATGGCCTCCGAAGGAATGATAGTATGACACACATCTCCACGTGTCACACTTAGTAGCCAAACTCTAAATTATACCAATGTGTTGACATAGCCTCTCTCCAAGCGCTACCAGTTCCCTATATACCGGAAGCAGCCACAGCGACACACCACTTCTTCTCTAGTCTCTAAGATCAGTTAGGGGAAGTAATAATTAGAGAACTTGGCCTGACGGAATGGCTGTACAGTTCAGTGCTCGGTAGCTTGGTGTGGACTAATCCCAGTCCGGAAGTTACATCTTATCGCCTCGTGTTTCCCCCCCCCCCCTCCCCAAGGCCCGGATGACGTCACGGCGCTGTAGTTACACAACCCATTGTCAGCTACCTGGGCCGCTCTCCTGTATTATAATATTAATACTACTACTAATAATAAGAAGAAAATTATAACATCCCGCATTGCTACAGGGAACTAACTGTGCAAAACAAATGTAGTTCTAGCTTTCAAACCACACACATCGCATGAGGCTTCGATACCCCATGTGCATAGGAAATAGGCTTTCAGGTTCTAGAAGATGAGAGGAAAGGTCAGCACTGTGGGGGAAATGACAGACAGACAACTAGAACATTATCCAACACATTGCACAGTTACAAAACCAATAAGATTTCAACTCAGATTCCACAGAGCAGAAGTTGTTAAGCACATGATGGGACATAATCCTATTGCATCTAACATACGAGTCATAAATACTCGTACTCCGCCTAAGTAAGACATAAACAAGAAACTAGTAACACTTGTGGAGCCAGCCAGAAATTTAGGGCCCGCGGAGGAATATCCCTGCAAAAAACAAGTAACTCCAATGGCGTGTAAGTAATAATAATAATAATATCCATAATGTAATATCCATAATAAAGATAATTCTAATAGGAATAATACAACATATAAGCAACTAAAATAAGATAATTACAAAGCCCTTTGTAACACGTCACATTACGACAGTTTGGCACCGGAAGGAAACATAACACAAGAATAGACTATACAAGTAACTTAATTCTGAGATCCTTTTTCAGAGTGATAGTATCATAAAGATCTACGTAATAAGACACAAATAAGACTACGTAATAAGACATTATTTAGTGACATTATGTCACTAAATAACTATAAAATACATGAATGTTGTTCAAGCAAGTTTATTGAGATTATAGAAAGCATTCCGTAAGGATAGAGTAGATTAGGCTACTTCTTCCCCCCTTCAGAATATAGTTCCATATATTGAGAGATCACAGTCTAGTGGTCTCGCTGAGGACGGGAAGCCGGCGGCTTGTCAAAAGTAAGTAAGGATATTTGTCCTTATGATTTTCTTGAATTGCAGCATCGTTTTGGCAAATACGGGTTCGGCGGGTAGGTGGTTCCTACCCTATGAGTAAAATGTCGTCTATTTTCTATTGTACATTTGTGGCTTGTTGAGCTTGAAACTTTTACTCCTTGTTTGTGTTACATCTGACCTTTTTAAGTTGTCTGGATCAGTATCCTACAAAATGTTCAGCATTTTAAGTTTCAATAAAATTGGCCCTGTCATGTCTGGTTTGTAGTGTTGTTAACCCAGTGGCCCGTGACCGTCCCTGGTATGAGAGCTAGTCAACTCAGTTCTGATTTTTGTCGCCCGGTATTGAACTTTCTTCTAAGCACACAAGTCTTTCTAAAGATGGGGACATGGATTCACGAAGCAGTTACGCAAGCACTTGCGAACGTGTACATCTTTCCCCAATCTTTGACGGCTTTGATTACATTTATTAAACAGTTTACAAGCATGAAAAATTCCCAATCAACTGTTGTTACTGTTATTAACATCCTCCTGGTGCTTCGGAGCTCATTAACTGTTTAATAATTGTAAACAAAGCCGTCAAGGATTGAGAAAAGATGTACAGATTCGTAAGTGCTTGCGTAACTGGTTCGTGAATCTGGCTCCATGCTTGAATACAATAATCCAAGTGGGAGAGCACCGGAGATTTATTCAGTTAATTAAGTACGTTTTATTCCTTGAAGTCAAATGTTCGCTTGACTATTCTTAAGGTTTGGTTGCCTCTGTTACTGCCGCTCCCGCTTGTTGTGAAACTTTCAGAGATTGGTGGATTCTGGCCCCAAGGTTCTTGGGCCAGATTCACGAAAGCACTTAGGCAAGCACTTACGAACCTGTACATCTTTTCTCAATCTTTGGCGGCTTTGTTTACAATTATTAAACAGTTTATGGGCTCCGAAGCACCAGGAGGCTGTTTATAACAATAACAACAGCTGAATGGGAAGTTTTCTTGCTTGTAAACTGTTTAATAAATGTAACCAAAGCCGTCAAAGATTGGGGAAAGATGTACACGTTCGTAAGTGCTTGCGTAAGTACTTTCGTGAATCTGGCCCCTTGTCTTTATCAATCTACTGCAAGGTAGATTGATTTGGCAGTTGAGACGTACAGTGAGCCCCCACATGCAAGGTCTTGCATTTATCGATATTAAAAAGCATTTACCAGTAGTTCGACAATTTGTGGAGTTCATGTAGATCTCTTTGTAAGGCCTCAATATTATTTTCACTTCCAACTTTACCATAAATTTTAATGCCATCTACAAATGCAGTTTGTAATATTCTTATCTATGACTTCGGTGTATAAGACAAAACAAAGATTGACCTTAAGCTGTCCCATGCGGTACCCCACTCACCATATATCTCCAGTTACAATCATTTTCGTTTAGGACAACATCTAGGAGTCCAGCACCGCTCCTGTGCCAGGTTAGTCCACTACGGGCTCACCATAGCCCGTGCTACTTGGAACTTGTTCCGAGTAGCTGAATCTATAACAACAACATCTAGGAGTCTGCTTATATTATTCAATGAGCCATAGATGTTTTAGATTAGTTTATTTTATTATACCCATACCCATCCCGTGGGCGGTTATGGACCCCATACCCATCCTGTGGGTGGTGGTGGACCCCATACCCATCCTGTGGGTGGTGGTGGACCCCATACCCATCCTGTGGGTGGTGGTGGACCCCATACTCATCCCGTGGGTGGTGGTGGACCCCATACCCATCCTGTGGGTGGTGGTGGACCCCATACTCATCCCGTGGGTGGTGGTGGACCCCATACCCATCCTGTGGGTGGTCGTGGAAAATAATACAGAGGCACATAATGGGCTCAGGGACTGAACCCCCAAATTAATTGAGATAAGCAGGTTACAAATTACAAAACGTAATGTAAAGTGTTATATATCAACAATTACTGTGTTAGAAACGGACTACAAATACAATATCTAAGCTAAGAATCTTTAATATGTGGTGAGCTAGTTTTATAATTGATGTTTATCCTGCACCTATCCCCCCCCCTTGTCCAGCCACTTAGGCTGGACGGGAGAGAGATGGTCTTGCTTCATGCAGGTCGGCGTTCGATCCCCCATTTGTCCAAGTGGTTGGGCACCATTCCTCCCTCCTTTCCCCCCCCCCCTTCCCGTCCCATCCCAAAATCCTTATCCTGATCCCTTCCCAGTGCTATAAAGTCGTAATGACTTGGCATTGGGGGGTAGAAATAGCCTAAACTACTCTATCCCTTTGAGATGTATTTCTTTCTTGTCTCAATAAACATACTTGACTTGGCGTTTTCTCCCGATTATTAACAACAAAAATTATTCCCCCCCCCCTTCCATCCGGTGGACAGGTGTGGGAAGGTTACACTCGAGTCACATTAGTGTGAGTGGCTCCTCTTGCATGATAGTATGACACTAGAATTACTACTGCTGATTTCACTCCGCCTCAGATCTACCAGGTTGTGTTGAGGTTCACGGTGTAATGTTGTTCCCAGGTTGCTTATAGGCACTGGAAGGTTATAGTCAAGGGAGGGAGACAATGCTACACGACAAAGGGTATACCATCATCACCACTAAGTGTTGTGTCTGGCTCTGGTGAGTACCTTGAAGGGGGAAGGGGGTAGGGGGGGGGAAGGTAGAGATGGAGGACGAAGTTCAAGTGATGAGGAAAGAACGCAGAATTGAGGGAAGGGGGGGGGGAGGAGGTGATGGATACAGGTAGTGGGGAGGGACGAGGGAGGAAGGGTAACATGTTGACAATGTAAGGGTCGTGGGGTAATGTTGTCATAATAACGAAGTTGGAGAGAGGTGTAGGCGAAGTGTGTGTGTGTGTCTTGAGAGGTAAGCTAAGCTTGCTTTCCTTTCTCACAGCTGGCAGTGAAAGCTTTGCCTCCAGTACTTCAACATACATGGGTGTATGTAGGTGAATGTTAAGTAGCATTCACTATAGTCACACTCGGATTCTCGAGTACATGTTTTGAGTTTTTGAGGGAAGTTGGGAAACTGGTGGGTACTTCACCGCGGGTTTGTGTATTGTGGGGCGGGGTTTCCATTGAGTAGATCGAGGCTCTTGGGCCACCAGCTGTGGGAGTGGGGCGTCTCATCTTGGGCCACCAGCTGTGGGAGTGGGGCGTCTCATCTTGGGCCACCAGCTGTGGGAGTGGGGCGTCTCATCTTGGGCCACCAGCTGTGGGAGTGGGGCGTCTCATCTTGGGCCACCAGCTGTGGGAGTGGGGCGTCTCATCTTGGGCCACCAGCTGTGGGAGTGGGGCGTCTCATCTTGGGCCACCAGCTGTGGGAGTGGGGCGTCTCATCTTGGGCCACCAGCTGTGGGAGTGGGGCGTCTCATCTTGGGCCACCAGCTGTGGGAGTGGGGCGTCTCATCTTGGGCCACCAGCTGTGGGAGTGGGGCGTCTCATCTTGGGCCACCAGCTGTGGGAGTGGGGCGTCTCATCTTGGGCCACCAGCTGTGGGAGTGGGGCGTCTCATCTTGGGCCACCAGCTGTGGGAGTGGGGCGTCTCATCTTGGGCCACCAGCTGTGGGAGTGGGGCGTCTCATCTTGGGCCACCAGCTGTGGGAGTGGGACGGCTTTGATGAGCGTCTCATCTTGATCTACTGGTGGCTTCATGTTGTGTGGCGGGAAAAGACAGAATACAAAACATGTTAGTAGACAGGAAAGAGAGAGAGAGAGAGAGAGAGAGAGAGAGAGAGAGAGAGAGAGAGAGAGAGAGAGAGAGAGAGAGGGGGGGGGGGAAGAGAAGGCGTCAGCGACTTATCAGCACAATTGTCAGCTTCAGGAGATTAGATAGTGGAGGGATGTATATTGAAGAGTCATCCCCAACCCGCCGCACCCTGAACTCACACTCCAGGGATCCGGGTTCAGTCCCCGGCCAGGACAGAAACAGTTGGGTAGCGTTTCCTCTCATCTGATAAACCTGC